TTCTCCATTGTGTTTTGCCTTATATCTGCATGGCATCAGAATCTTCCCAGTACACCTCAGCAAATGGGCAGGTAACTTGTTTTCTTCTGCGTGAGTATCTAGAATTTTTATTTTTTCATTTTCTTTTCTTTTCTTTTTTTTTTTTTTTTAAGTTTTTTTGCTCTAGGGCATGTGTGCTTGCAGGAGTGGGGAAGAGGTTGGGGTTGAGAAATCACCTGTCAGGGTGATTGTGGTTACACCACAGTCCATTCTTCTCTAATATTTTCTTCAGATGTTGGGTACGCAGGTACATATACTGACATGATTTCAAGCCTCCAGGTCCTGGACTTGGAATGGCACAATCAGCCATGTGGGACCTAGCTGCCTTAACTTCCACACCACTTACTGGCCCACCACCAATCCTTTTTACCATGGTTTCTTGCTAATTTTATTACTGTCATCTCTTAATTGACTACAGTTTTCATCTGGTAAATTTTTTTAAATGAATTCATGGACGTTGATGTCCCTAAGTTCTTGCATATGTGAAAATGCCTATTAAACTTTTAAGAAACATTTTATATGTATACACCATGAATTGGCATAATAAGAGTCCTGGACCATTACCTTCAGAATTTTGTGGTTATTTCTCCATTGTGTTTTGCCTTATATCTGCATGGCATCAGAATCTTCCCAGTACACCTCAGCAAATGGGCAGGTAACTTGTTTTCTTCTGCGTGAGTATCTAGAATTTTTATTTATCTTTGAAATCAAATAACGAGCTATGTCCAAGTTTTGAGTATTTTTATCACTTTTTTCCTAATAAAAAATTAGTGTGTTCTTTTGATCTACAGATTTATTTCTTCATCTAACAAAGTTTTTCTTGTATTAGATTATTTAATGTGCTTTTTTGTTTTATTTGGAAGATTCTGTAGTTTAAGGAGGTCTTTAACTTCATGTTATATTGTCTTTGTTTTCCTTCTACATTATTTTTTCTATTTGCATTCTTGTAAATTTTTATTAAAGATTTCATTTACATACAGTAAAATTCACTCTTTGTTGCATATAATTCTGAGTTTTGACAAATGCATATGATCATTTAACCACTATAGAATAGTCATCACATAAAAAATTCTACTGCCCCATCCTTGGCAACCTACTTTCTGTCTTAGGAGTTTTACCTTTCTAGAATGTCATATAAATAAAATCATATAGCATATGTCCTTTGGAGTTTGGCTTCTTTTTTTACTATGCATAATTAATTTGAGATTTACTTGTATTGTTGCATGTACTCGTATTTTTATCATTGGGTAGCATTTCATTCTTCGGATGGTACTATAGATTGTCATTACCACTTCAGGGCATTTCCAGGTTTTGATGTTGTAAATGAAGTAAGTTGTGACTATTCCCATAGAAGTTTTTTGTGTGACTGTACATTCTTATTTTGCTTGGGTAAATAATCTAGAAGTAGAGCTGCCGGATCATACAGTAAGTGTATGTTATATGAAACTGTCAAACTGATGTCTAAATGAGTTGTACTACTTTTCATTTCCTTTAACAAAAAGGAAAGTAAAGAGAGTTCTAGGTGTTCTGCAGTCTTGTCAGTAATTGGTGTTATAAATTTACTTTAATTTGGCCATTCTAATATGATACTACTGACTCATAATTTTAGTGACTATTTCTCTAATAACTAATGATGCTAAGTGATTTTTCTTGTGCTTGTTTGCCATTTGTTTTTATTTGGTAAAGTACCTATTCAGTACTCTGCCCATTCTTTAATTAGATTGTTTTTCTTATTATTGAGTTTTGAGAATTCCTTTTATATTTTGGTTACAAATTATTTGTCCAGTTCTGGCTTGCCATATATACAGGGGAATCTAAAAAAGTCTGGGAAAGGGGCCGGCAGGTGGCGTGCTATATTTAAGGCGCTATACTCCCACATGGCTGACCACAGTTTGTGTTCTCGACTTGGTGGCTTGCTTTCTCTCTTTCTCTGTCTCTCCCTAGTAAAAATATAATAATAATTAAATATTTTTTTTTAATTCTGGGAAAATACAGTTAAAGTATGAGTTTATTTTGGTACCAAACATTTTTAAATCCATGCATAGTTTTTTCATAGTACCCATTTTCCCCTGAAGTTTTGGAGGGCCCCTTATATTTTCTGGACATCTCCAGCTTGTCTTTTCATTCTCTATTTGCTCTATATAACAGCAAAAGTTCTTAGTTTTGATGAGGCATAGTTTATCAACTTCTTTTGTGGGTTGTGACTTTTGTATTGTATCTGGGAAGTCTTTTTTTTTTTTTTTTAAGTTTATTTCTTCTGTGATTGAGATAAAGAGACAGAGACAGCACCCCAAGCAGGATCTCAGTGTTGCGATCCACCGTCAGATTTTAGCCAGCCCCAGGTTATGGTCAGGTGTGTGCCTGGTTTATTTAGGGATGTCTCTGGACTTGAACTAGGAACCTTCCCATGCAGAATTGCCTACCACAGCATCATGCTTTTCTGCTGTGACTATCTGCCCCCATCAGGAAATCTTAATCTCCACATACGGCTTTTGTTTTGTTTTTAACAAAAAGGAAAGTAAAGAGAGTTCTAGGTGTTCTGCAGTCTTGTCAGTAATTGGTGTTATAAATTTACTTTAATTTGGCCATTCTAATATGATACTACTGACTCATAATTTTAGTGACTATTTCTCTAATAACTAATGATGCTAAGTGATTTTTCTTGTGCTTGTTTGCCATTTGTTTTTATTTGGTAAAGTACCTATTCAGTACTCTGCCCATTCTTTAATTAGATTGTTTTTCTTATTATTGAGTTTTGAGAATTCCTTTTATATTTTGGTTACAAATTATTTGTCCAGTTCTGGCTTGCCATATATACAGGGGAATCTAAAAAAGTCTGGGAAAGGGGCCGGCAGGTGGCGTGCTATATTTAAGGCGCTATACTCCCACATGGCTGACCACAGTTTGTGTTCTCGACTTGGTGGCTTGCTTTCTCTCTTTCTCTGTCTCTCCCTAGTAAAAATATAATAATAATTAAATATTTTTTTTTAATTCTGGGAAAATACAGTTAAAGTATGAGTTTATTTTGGTACCAAACATTTTTAAATCCATGCATAGTTTTTTCATAGTACCCATTTTCCCCTGAAGTTTTGGAGGGCCCCTTATATTTTCTGGACATCTCCAGCTTGTCTTTTCATTCTCTATTTGCTCTATATAACAGCAAAAGTTCTTAGTTTTGATGAGGCATAGTTTATCAACTTCTTTTGTGGGTTGTGACTTTTGTATTGTATCTGGGAAGTCTTTTTTTTTTTTTTTTAAGTTTATTTCTTCTGTGATTGAGATAAAGAGACAGAGACAGCACCCCAAGCAGGATCTCAGTGTTGCGATCCACCGTCAGATTTTAGCCAGCCCCAGGTTATGGTCAGGTGTGTGCCTGGTTTATTTAGGGATGTCTCTGGACTTGAACTAGGAACCTTCCCATGCAGAATTGCCTACCACAGCATCATGCTTTTCTGCTGTGACTATCTGCCCCCATCAGGAAATCTTAATCTCCACATACGGCTTTTGTTTTGTTTTTTGTTTTTTTTTTTTTGATTGTCAGAGGGTAGTTGTACTGTCCAGAGAAAGAAGTTAGTGGAGAGAGAGAGAAGGCACTACCCAATGAGCCATGGTCATGTTGTAGTCCTTTTTCTTCCTTTTCTCCAGCCTTTCAGGAGTTTGTACACACAAGCACACACACCAGGATGTTTTTCAAGCCTCTGGGGCCAAGATCTGAGCTATAGTCAAACATATAGGATCTCATTTTGTTAACCACTATGCCATAAGGCCCAACTCTAATACACTTATTATTATATTGCTGTTGTTGACTTGCTAAATTTTCATTAAGAACTTTTGTTTATGAAGGGTATACACCTCAATCCTATCTGCTCCATTCTCCCTTCAGGATTTTGTGCAAGCCGTGCAGAAATACCAGATGTGTTTTCCATGCTACTTTGTTGGGACCCAGCCTCCTCGACCGACATGCCATTGGCTGCCCTGATGTTGCCTCTTCTTTTTAGCTTTTTGCTTTTTGTATAGTTCAAGTGAAACACTGATAAGACATTTCTTTGTACTGTGTTATGATTTCATACTGGATTTTTCAAGCATCTTTATTATTTCTTTGAGGGAAACTTTAATTTTTTCCAAAGTACATTTACATAGTTGCTGTGAGATTTATTTCTATCTTGCTAAAACTTAATGAAAAGCACTTTTGTCCTTACCTTATGTTGGTTACTATAACATGCCTGGCTTCAACTATACCACTTTACTATGGCATTTGAGACTTTTCTCCAGGGCTGTAGTTATAGGGATGGAATGTCCTCATCCACCTAACTTATTACAGCTGATGGTGTGGTGAAACACAGCCCAGGTTATGGTCAGTCCTTATGAAAATATTCATGATTTGCCTTTCTGAAATACTTATTGTTAAATATCTTGTACCAGGGATAATCTGTTCCCTAGTTTAGTGTGGAGTTCATTAGAAAAAGTTAGCAAGATCCAATTCAGTTGTCTTTTTCTTATATGACTATGTATGCATTGTTTTCACTACCACCAAGCCAGAAAAGATACCAGTTTACTTTTTTTCTATCCATGGGTGTGTTGGAGAATTTTCAAAATTTTGTGGATTCAGCAGTATATTGGGGACTGAATGGAAGGTGTTAGAAGTAGGCTTAGCAACTGTACTGGTCATGAATATTCCTCTGTTTTCTTAGCTAAACTTTGGTTGCCACAGTTGATTTTTGCCCTTCTTTGTTGTTTTAACTAATTTTATTGATTTTGCTTGATATAGAAAGGATTTTGTTTGTTTGTTTGACTTTGTCTAGAAGTTACTAAGTTTTATAGTTCTGCATAATATATGTGAACCAAATATTTTTTTTCCTTTGGTAATTAGCATCAACTTTATTTTTATTTTTTGAATAAGTAAAATGTAAATTCTCATTGTTATCATTTTAAACTATTTTAAAACTCTTTTTTTCCCCCAGATACCATGTTTGTGTGGTAGTGCCCCATGTTTGCTGTGCCGATGCTGTCCTAGTGGAAACAACTCCACTGTAACTAGATTGATCTATGCACTTTTCCTTCTTGTTGGAGTGTGTGTAGCTTGTGTAATGTTGATACCAGGAATGGAAGAACAACTGAACAAGGTTAATATTTTTTCTTATTTATTAACTGAAACTATAGTATATCTATATACATAAAAGTGATTTCGGGTATTGGAACAAGACTAATGTAATAGTAAGATAATATGTAATCCTAATTTTAATAGTTTATAATCTTATAGGAAGGATAGCAAAGACAGTAAAGTAGCTCGTCAGGGTCTATGATAGTGGTACAGAAAATGTGCTATGATGACAACAAAGAAAAAAGTAATTCTAACCAAGCAACTGTTAGAATTTCAGTGGATCTCATGGAAAAGGGGACATTCTGAGAATGAGTAGAACTTTCATATAAAACGATAGAAAAAATAGAAAGCATAATGAATAGTATATGCTTTAGGAAGATTCTGGTAATTACGAAAGGATAGAAGTAAAGTAGTTAAATATGAAGGCTATTGCACTGGTATAATGGAGTAAGAGAGAGTGAAATAAATTTTCTGGATATAGAATTGTGGAGTCTGGCATTTAAATATTGGCAATGATAGAATCATAAATAGCAACCAGGTTCTAATCCTAGGAAACTTGGAGGAAAGTGTTGCTGTTAACCTCAGAGTGAAAAAATTTTATAAGTGAGTTTTGGTGTTTTGCTACTTTTTTCCCCTAATTTTGTTAGTCATGTTATAGAAGGAAATGAAGAAAGTATAATCAACTTAGTTTCTAACATGTTGACTTAGAGGTACTGCATCACATATATGTATAAATATATACATGTAAATATAATATAAATATATATTACATATATACATATACAATATATGCACACATACACATAACATACATATAAATATATACAAGGGACTCCAAGAAGATCATGAAAAATGGAATTAAAGTATGTCTTTATTTTGGTGCAAAAAAATCTTGAAATCCGTTCATAGTTTTTTTTATAGTATGCATTTTTCCATGAATTTTTCAAAGAACTGTCATATATTTTACTTCAAACTTCTATAACAAGAAATCCATCAAAAAAAAAACCGAAAGAAATCCATCAACTGGGCAGCTTAAAAACTAGTAGTTTATTTCTTAGAATTCTAGATGTTAGAAGTCTAAGATCAAGGGTGTCAGGACACTAAGAGTTGTGGTGAAGGTCCTCTTCCTGGTTTGCAGATGACTGTCTTCTCCTTGTATCTTAATGTGGTGGAAAGAGAGGGGAAAATAAACCATCTTCTGTCTTACCTCATAAAGGCACTAATTCTGTAGTGAAGGCTGTATCCTTATGATCTAATTACCTCCCAAAGGTTCTGCTTCCTATTACCATTCTATTGGGGGTTAGGGTTTCAACATAGGAATTTTGGGTAGACACAAATATGAAGTCTACAATAGTATATGTCCAGCAGGAAGCAGAAAACCTGAATGTGTAATTCAAAGAAATCAGACTTAGAGACTGTTCTGTTGGGTTGTAGGGGAGGTCATGACACATTTTTGCATAGAAACATCTCATGACTTTCCTGACTTAATAGTTCGAAGTAGTCTTGGAGGTAGAGATAAAACTTGAAACTAAAAGTTGAAACTATAGCAGCATATGCTGAATAAAGATGATTCAGAGTGATCAGAATTAGAAGTTTGTCAAAAGCTCTTAAGGACATTGGTGGACAAAGGGGGAACCTCTGAAGGAACAGTGAGAAAAGAAGAACCAAGGGACTGTATAGGCTTCAGGAGAGAGTATAAGAATGGCTGGACGGGGGCCTGCAAATGGCTTAATAGTTATGTTCCTGGACTCCCATGTAGTTGACTGCGGTTTGAGTCCCAGACCTGACAACTTAAACTTTCGCCAGGCACATGTGTGTGCGTGGCCAAAATCCTGAGAGAATAGAGGAGAAGGGATTGTGGTATGGCCATCTCCCCTAGGGGTGATTTCTCGCTTTCTGTCTGTTTCTCTGGAGAGCACATAAGCCCTATAGCAAAAATCTCTTTAAAAAAAAAAAATAACTTTTTGCATTTTTGGATTCTACAACTAGGACATGACTAGTATCCTGAAAAGGCAGTGTTTTGTATGCTGGGTTTAGAAGGAGTGGGAGGAATTAATTTATTCTTATGCATGTGAATATGTGTGTATGTGTGTATATATATACATATATATATATATTTGAGTAACATGCAAATTTTAAACTTTAAAACAAATTTGCAACTCGAAATACACCTCCAGTCCATGATTGGCATTGGTAGCTCATCATTTTCACATATGGAAGTTTAACTTTTTTCATGTTATCTGATTAAAATGTACCAGATTTATCTTAATTACATATTCATCATAGACTGTAAAGCAAACTTGTTTTCCAAACCTTTACTTAAACTATTTGATTATAGAGAATTTTCATTTTTCTTTAGTAAAATATTATGAGTTACAAACTCTTATTTTTCTAGATTCCTGGATTTTGTGAGAATGAGAAAGGTGTCATCCCTTGTAATATTCTGGTTGGCTATAAAGCTGTATACCGTTTATGCTTTGGCTTGGCTATGTTCTATCTTCTCCTGTCTTTACTAATGATCAAAGTGAAGAGCAGCAGTGATCCTAGAGCTGCAGTGCACAATGGGTAAGCTTTTGAATAAAGTTCAAAATAGAAGATGAGTAGCACCTTCCTCATAATTTTGAGTCCCTTAAAAACAACTTTAAATAAACTTACACAGTCTACAGAATTTATTCATGAATGACAAGGTGAGAAGATCCTTTTGTTTATACTGGTGAATGTCAGATGAAATATTAAATAATAGCCTTGTGTCATGTATTGGCATAATAGCAATTTATAATGCTATGCATTTCATCTTAAAAAGGCCAGCAGATGGCTTGGTGATTAAGGTACTGGATTCCCATATGGCTGACTGGTTTAAGTCCTGGACCCAGCACTTTAAATCATACTGGGCATGTGTGTGTGCATGTCCAAAATCCTGAGAGAAGAATAGAGGAGAATGGATTGTGGTGTGACCATACCCTGGGGTAGGGGGGTGACTTCTCACTTGCTCTCTGGTGAGCACAAGCACCCTATGGCATAAACCTTAAAAAAAAGGGGGGGAAAATAAGAATGTGTAACATTTGTAGCTATTAAAGGTAGAGCTGTTCCTTCTTTTTTTCTTAGCTTTTGTTGGACCAGTCCCACTACATAGAACTATCAGTTCCCTAGACCTCCAGGGTAGCCAAAATAAAACCTCATTCTTTTTTTTTTTTGGAGAGATTTTCGCTGTAGGGCACATGCGCTCGCCAGACAGACAGACAGAGACATTAGAGACAGAAAGCGAGAAATCACCCCCCAGGGGGGATGGTCACGCCACAATCCCTTCTCCTCCATTCTCCTCTCGGGATCTTGGGCACACAAGCACATGCGCCCGGCATGAGTTTTAAGCCACCAGGTCCGGGACGCGAACTGTGATTGACTACGTGGGAGTCCAGCGACATAGCCATTACGCTAACTGCTGGTTCCCAAAACCTCATTCTTTTTCTTTTGTCTTTTGTCTTTTTTTTTTTTTTTTAAATATGGCACTTGTGCTTGACAGAGCGACAGAAAGCAAGAAATCACCCTCACCTCATGAAGGGCAGGGCATGGCCATGCCACAGTCCCTTTTTCATTCTCCTCTATGAATCTTGGGTACGCATGCATACGCACCTTGCATGAGTTTTAAATGGTATGGTCCAGGACTTGAAATGCAGTTGCCTACTTGGGAATCCCTAATGTATCCATTATGCTATCTGCTGTTCCCTAGAACTTTATTCTTAAACAGGGTATTGATTTTCTGCATGGTTAGTTGTACTGGACAGCTCAGAAAAAAAAAAACAAGTTCTTTTAATCCTTCTTACTTAACATAGAACACCAATTTTGGTATTCTTTTTCAATGTTTTGAATTTTGTTTTAATTTTTTCCACAAATTAATTTTTTAAAGTAACTTTTCCTTATATGAGTGACATGTGCTAACAAAAAGGAGGTATAAACAAACGGAGTATAAATATCAATGAAAATGTGTGGCGGGTTGATTTTATTTTATCCTTTTAGTCATTATTTGCTTTAAATTATTAAAGTTTTGGGGAGGCATTTTTCATGAATTTATTGTAACTATGCATTTGTACAACAAACTTAATAGATTATCCCATTTATTGTGTAAAGTAAACCTGTGAAATGGAACTAACATTCACATTTCCTAATAACCAATTAGAGATGTGTATCTTCCATAAAACTGTCCTAAAATTAGTTCTATAATCTTTTTCTGATTTTCAGGATACCCTCAGGACAAAACAATTCTGTAAAATGTAGCTATTCTCTAAGATGCTCTTGAAAGATTTCATATATAAAATTACTTGTTGAATGAATGTTTATTAATAAAAATATATTTCTTTATGTTTTAGATTCTGGTTCTTTAAATTTGCTGCAGCAATTGCAATTATTATTGGAGCATTCTTTATTCCAGAAGGAACTTTTACAACTGGTATGAAATCTTTAATTTTTTTAGATTGTATGATGTTGATGTTTTATAAAAGGAACTGAACTAGTTATCTAGAAACAGAACTACTTGTTTAGTTTTTGTGGTTGTGTTTTTTGTTTGTTTTTCTTCAGTGGCGAAATCAAAGCATTTATATAAAATTGTCCTTTTCTTTTAGTTTAGTGATTATGAAAAGGAAATTTAAACTAGCCACTCACCGCTTGTATATGTGCTTTTTTTCTTTCAGTCTGGTTTTATGTAGGTATGGCAGGTGCCTTTTGCTTCATTCTCATACAGCTAGTCTTACTTATTGATTTTGCTCATTCATGGAATGAATCATGGGTTGAAAAAATGGAAGAAGGGAACTCAAGATGTTGGTATGCAGGTAAGCTTTTTATCTCACAAGGCATCTTCAAGATAGTTGAACTATGAAAGTGAGAACAGATGTAAAGACTATAGTGACATTACTTAGAATTTTTATGGTCTAATTTCATGTGAAAAGATTTTTAATTTAAAAGTTTATAAATGATACCAGGCTAGCAGCAGGTGGCATGGTGTTTAAGATGCTAGATCCCACATGGCTGACTCTGAGTTTACAGTTCTAGAACTAGTGGCTTGAAAATCACACTGGGCACATGTGCCTGTGTGCCCAAAATCCTGAGAGAAGAATAGAGGAGAAAGGATTGCAGCATGGCCGTCCCCTGAGGAGTAATTTCTTACTTTCTCTCTGTTTCTTTCACTCTCTGTCTGTCTCCTACAAGCTCACATGCCCTTATAGCAAAAACCTAAAATATAAATAAATAAACAAAAGCATATAAATGATACCACATTATATCAGCAACTTAACTTGTTGAAAGATCTTTTGACAAATTAACTAGAACAAGAATTAGGAAAGGATTTAAAAGAACCTGAATAGCTAAAATAAATGTTCCAAAGCCTGTTGCTGAAAGCATGTGCACTTTGGGAACCAGCAGTTAGCATAATGGCTATGTCGCTGGACTCCCACACAGTCGACTGCAGTTTGCATCCCGGACCCGGTGGCTTAAAACTCACGCTGGGCGCGTGTGCGTGTGTGCCCAAGATCCCAAGAGGAGAATGGAGTAGAAGGAATTGCTGCGTGACCATCCCCCCTGGGGGGTGATTTCTTGCTTTTTGTCTCTAATGTCTCTCTCTGTCTGTCTGGCGAGCGCATGCGCCCTATAGCGAAAAATCTCTCAAAAGAAAAAAAAGCACGTGCACTTTGCAGCTGAATTTCTTATCCTATAGCAGGTTAAAAGTAAAATATGAAAAGGACAAAGACTGCTAGAAATAAATATGTAGTGCTATAAACAGCAGAAACAGAAAAATATAAAAAGCAGTTCTGAGACATCTTATATAAATACAAAGGATGATTTTATGTGCATCAGTAAACCTGAAATTACTATACCGGTGTAATTAATAATTATTTATAATGACAAGCTGGAGTTCCATGGTTATACTCTTAAACAATGTCGAAATTCACATACCTGTAAGGCCAAACAAGTAACAAAAATGAAGGAAGGGGACCAATTTTAAGTGTATATTCAATCCTTTTGTAAATGATAGGGAAGGACTATGATGAAGTGGAGAATAAATGGTCCATCTAATGTACATAGCTGCTGCTCTGCTCCATCTGTTAATTATCTTGCAGGAATGTGTGAACTTAATACTGCCTGACTTTTCTGACCTTTAAAAAAGAAGCTAAAAATGTGGATTTTATGTAAAATGATCTGGGTTTCAGCTAAAGAAAATAATTTAAAGCACAGTGCAAGCCAAACCCAACATACCTGTTGGCCTGATAACTTAGCTCATGTATCTAGTTGGTTGTGTTTCTTTCTGAGTGGTTAATAAGGCATTTGATGCTCAAAAAAATAAGATTTAGTCATTTGGAAACTTGAGTACCTCATTCTTTAATGCAAAGTCTAATGCAAGGACTTCTCTCTGTTTCATTCCCCATTGTATCCCCAGGGCCTGGAAAGTTGTAGGCATTCAATAAATATTTGTTGGATGGATCCCCTGTCAGTCAGGCAAATCTATATGAATACTTATATATTGAGCACATATTAGTACAAAGACTGAAACATGAAACACCTTATGTATGTTAAAATTTATATAGAAGCAGCATAGGTTGTCTTAATAAATAATAATGACTTACCCTTGAATAATATGTATTTTTTAAGATTGTATTCAGGGACCAGCAGTTAGTGTAATGGCTATGTCACTGTACTCCCATGTAGTCGACCGCGGTTTGAGTCCCGGATCCGGTGGCTTAAAACTCACGCTGGGCGCGCGTGTGTGTGCGTGCCCAAGATCCTGAGAGGAGAATGGAGGAGAAGGGATTGCGGCGTGGCCGTCCCCCTGGGGGATGATTTCTTGCTTTCTGTCTCTCTGTCTCTCTCTGTCTGTCTGGCGAGTGCACGTGCCCTACAGCAAAAAGCCTCTCCAAAAAAAAAAAAAAAAGAGTAAGCCTGGGACCGGCTCAGGACCAGGGCGGAAAAAAAAAAAAGATTGTAGTCAGTGAGGAAAAGCATCATTTTGTGGGCTTAACATTAACAATGAAAATACTTTTGTTTTTTAAATGAAATGATTATCATTCTTTAAAAATCTTAATATTCCCTTTTTAAAAATAATGGCTAATGTATATGAACATGGTTTATAAACTATGTTATATACAGATTACTACTAATAAAAATCGTGTTAGTGGGCTGCTAACTTACTGTACTTGAAAAAATGTATTAGTGAACCATGTGTAAAGACTATAGAATTCTTCAGCAATTAAGTTAATAATTTTCTTTCCTGCTTTTTAACCTGCATAATGATGATAATGTTAGTTGCTTAAAATAGACTATTTGATAAAATGACAGATCGTTTTAAAAAACAATACCTAATTCATAGTATTTGTGATAAAATCTAATTATCAAATTATATTTCTTTTTCAGCCTTATTATCAGCTACAGCTCTGAATTACTTGCTGTCTTTAGTTGCTGTCGTCCTATTTTTTGTCTACTACACTCATCCAGCCAGTTGTTCAGAAAATAAGGCGTTCATCAGTGTCAACATGCTCCTCTGCATTGGTGCTTCTATAATGTCTATACTGCCCAAAATCCAAGTATGTTCTTCATAGCATTGGTTTTTATGAAGCTAATACCTAATTCTCATACATTTTAAATTATGTCAGACTATGTATCTCCACTGCTTGCTTGCTTGCTTATTTATGTGTTTGTTTGTTTATTGTAGGAATCCCAACCTAGATCTGGGTTGTTACAGTCTTCTGTAATTACAGTCTACACAATGTATTTGACATGGTCCGCTATGACCAATGAACCAGGTATGTTTTTTTTTTAATTTGTTTTTAATGATTCTTACAGTTTTCTTTTTTTTTTTTAGAGATAGTCATTTTGTGAGGTTAAATTTCTTAAAAATTAGGGTCCCTTGGGGGGGGGGAAATGTATGGAAATAATACTTTTTCATTTTTGATGTATCACTGTTTTTTCAGTTAGTTTCTTACTTCAGTAGCAAAATTATAATAGGGTTTTAAGAAATTATATGAAAATGACCTAATTTGCAGATAGCATAAGACACATGCTCTGGGTTATATGTGGAAAGAAATAGAAGCTCTTCAAATGCTTGTTTAGTGAACAGAATTTTTAAACATTATTAAATTAAGTTTTTTATCTGTGACTCTCTTTCAAATGAATATAATCAACTTTGTAATGAATCTCTTTCAAGTCCAGTTATATTGCATTCTGTGGGAATAGAAACCAATGAATGATGTTTGGGGGAGAAATTAATTACTATTTTTAGAAAAGGAAGAAAATTGACTCATTTTCTAAAAAAAATTTAAAAAATTATAAAACATACTTTTTATTGAGTTTACAGATTTTGTGTATTCTTTATCACTTACTGGGGAAAATAATAGGGGCCTTTTTTTAATATATTAGAGAAAGATTTCCTATGTTTTTCTAGGAAAGTAGTGAGAAAAAAAATTACTAGTAGTTTTCTATAGAGTTTAGTCTTATCTAAGTTTTATTACCAAGGTAGAGACTGACAGATCTGGTTTTATGGGTAAAAAAGATAAATACTTTGAACATTTTAGTAAATACTTCATATTTTCTGATAAGAGTAAAGAAATGGAATAAGCATTAGGTTATATGCCTTATTTGTTATATGTATAAAGGTGTCTTCAAAAAAAATTTTTAAGCTATTTATTTCCTGATAGAAACAGGAACTCAAAACAGGAGCCTCATGTAGCAGTCCACCCCTACTCTTAGCCAGGATCACAGACATAATAGGGGAGGTGCAGAGACAAGAACCGTGGACTTTTGCCATGTGGGTTCAGCTATATACCACTGCACCATCTCCTGGCTCATATTTTGCTTTTTATTACAGTATTCTTTGACAGATTGATAAACTTAATAAAGTCAGTATTATAATTTTAGTATACAGTATAAAAACCAGTATGTTGTAGTTTAGTATATCTGAATTTTATTTCTAACTCTACTATAATTTTACCAACTTTATAGAGATGTTATCTACATGTCACCTGGGTTTTTTTTTTTTTTGGTTTTTTTTTTGTTTTTTTGGGGGGGAGAGGTTTTTGCTATAGGGCGCATGTGCTTGCCAGAAACACAGAGACAGACAGAAAGCGAGAAATCATCCCCCAGGGGAAACGGCCACACCACAATCCCTTCTCTTTCTCCTCCTAGGATCTAGGGCATGCACACACACACGTGCTCGACATGAGTTTAAGCTACCAGGTCTGGGACTTGAACCGTGGTTGACTACATGGGAGTCCAGCAACATAACCATTATGCCAACTGCTGGTCCCATATTCCACCTGTTTTCTAACTGATAAGGAGGGTTTCTCTCTCAGCTCTCATGAAGCAAACATAAAACAATTTAATGTTTCCAAACATTCTATATTAGTAGCATAAAACTTAAAAAGGAAAAAAATAAAAATATCTTACTGTTAATAAACATAAATTATCTTCAGATATTTTGTTTTTACACTTGTGCCTTTTCCAACAGAACATTTTGAATTTGGAAGAGCTTTAGTAGTTAAAAAGAACTAAAGTTGTACCCTAAGAAATATTTTTAAAAAATGATTCCAGCATTTAATTTACTATAATTTACATTACAGAAACAAGTTGCAACCCAAGTTTACTAAGCATAATTGGTTATAATACAACAAGCACGATCCCAAAGGATGGCCAATCTGTCCAATGGTGGCATGCTCAAGGAATTATAGGACTAATCCTCTTTTTATTGTGTGTATTTTATTCAAGGTAAGATAACTAGAATTTTATTTTTAAACATTAAGTCCAACTATTCATCTGTGAATTGTTTCTTTAAAAAGAAAATGATTTTTCTTCCTTTATTCTAAACTAGCATCCGTACTTCCAACAATAGTCAAGTTAATAAATTGACTCTAACAAGTGATGAATCAACTTTAATAGAAGATGGTGGAGCCAGAAGTGATGGATCACTGGAGGATGGTGATGATGTTCACCGAGCTATAGATAATGAAAGGGATGGTGTCACTTATAGTTATTCCTTCTTTCACTTCATGCTTTTCCTGGCTTCACTTTATATCATGATGACCCTTACCAACTGGTACAGGTACTTACATTTCATGAAATCTTTGGATCTGGTGGTCTGGTGGCTTTTTCATAATCTATTACAGAATATAATATGATATGAAGTACTTATAATTCTCTTATATTTTTCAAAATGTATAGCTAAATGAATAGAGACCAGTATGAGAAATGTAGACTTTACTTCCTGCCATTACATGGGATCTTCAAAATATTCGTGGAAAGTGCATATTGTGAAAATACTATGCATGAATTTAAAAAATTTTTGCACTAAAACAATGTAATTTTACTTTTCCACAAACTTTTTGAAGTCCCTTTTTTTTGTTTTGTTTTTAAGATTTTTGCCATAGGGCACATGCATTTGCCAGAGGGAGATAGTGAGAAGGAAACAAATTGCACCCTAGGAAGGATGGCCACTCTGGAATCCCTTCTCCTCCATTCTCATCCTGTGATTTTGGGCACATTACACGCGCGCCCTGCATGAGTTTCAAGCCATCATGTCCAAGACTTTAACCACAGTCACAGTCAGCCATATGGGAATCTACCACCATAATCACTACACCAGCTATTCACTCCTGAAGTTTCCTTCTTTAACAAAAACATTGAGCTATCAATGTAAAGTTGAGGAAATTAAAATGGAACATTTTATGAAACAAACATATTTTTGTACAGCAAGTTGATAGTTAGCTAACACATTTTAATACTTTAAACCTGTTCCTTACATAGTACAGTAAAAGATACTTCTGTTTTGTTTGAACATTGTCATTAAAATTTCTGAACATTTTGAAATTGAGGTTTGAATTCATTAATGTAGATGGAGTCTCAGAATTCTTTAGAATTATATGCTTTTTTATTACTTCAGAATGAATCCATGGGACCAGCAGTTAGCGTAATGGCTATGTCGCTGGACTCCCACGTAGTCAACCGTGGTTCGCTTCCTGGACCTGGTGGCTTAAAACTCACGCCGGGCGTGTGTGCCCAAGATCCCGAGAGCAGAATGGAGGAGAAGGGATTGCGGCGTGGCCATTCCCCCCGGGGGTGATTTCTCGCTTTCTGTCTCTGTCTGTCTGGCGAGCGCACGTGCCCTATGGAAAAAACCTCTCAAAAAAAACCCCACAACAACTCTGTCCGTGGTGTGATCCCAATCTGCTTTACTGAAGGGGATGCCTAAGGGGAGGGTTTCTCTCTCAGCTCTCATGAAGCAAACATAAAACAATTTAATGTTTCCAAACATTCTATATTAGTAGCATAAAACTTAAAAAGGAAAAAAATAAAAATATCTTACTGTTAATAAACATAAATTATCTTCAGATATTTTGTTTTTACACTTGTGCCTTTTCCAACAGAACATTTTGAATTTGGAAGAGCTTTAGTAGTTAAAAAGAACTAAAGTTGTACCCTAAGAAATATTTTTAAAAAATGATTCCAGCATTTAATTTACTATAATTTACATTACAGAAACAAGTTGCAACCCAAGTTTACTAAGCATAATTGGTTATAATACAACAAGCACGATCCCAAAGGATGGCCAATCTGTCCAATGGTGGCATGCTCAAGGAATTATAGGACTAATCCTCTTTTTATTGTGTGTATTTTATTCAAGGTAAGATAACTAGAATTTTATTTTTAAACATTAAGTCCAACTATTCATCTGTGAATTGTTTCTTTAAAAAGAAAATGATTTTTCTTCCTTTATTCTAAACTAGCATCCGTACTTCCAACAATAGTCAAGTTAATAAATTGACTCTAACAAGTGATGAATCAACTTTAATAGAAGATGGTGGAGCCAGAAGTGATGGATCACTGGAGGATGGTGATGATGTTCACCGAGCTATAGATAATGAAAGGGATGGTGTCACTTATAGTTATTCCTTCTTTCACTTCATGCTTTTCCTGGCTTCACTTTATATCATGATGACCCTTACCAACTGGTACAGGTACTTACATTTCATGAAATCTTTGGATCTGGTGGTCTGGTGGCTTTTTCATAATCTATTACAGAATATAATATGATATGAAGTACTTATAATTCTCTTATATTTTTCAAAATGTATAGCTAAATGAATAGAGACCAGTATGAGAAATGTAGACTTTACTTCCTGCCATTACATGGGATCTTCAAAATATTCGTGGAAAGTGCATATTGTGAAAATACTATGCATGAATTTAAAAAATTTTTGCACTAAAACAATGTAATTTTACTTTTCCACAAACTTTTTGAAGTCCCTTTTTTTTGTTTTGTTTTTAAGATTTTTGCCATAGGGCACATGCATTTGCCAGAGGGAGATAGTGAGAAGGAAACAAATTGCACCCTAGGAAGGATGGCCACTCTGGAATCCCTTCTCCTCCATTCTCATCCTGTGATTTTGGGCACATTACACGCGCGCCCTGCATGAGTTTCAAGCCATCATGTCCAAGACTTTAACCACAGTCACAGTCAGCCATATGGGAATCTACCACCATAATCACTACACCAGCTATTCACTCCTGAAGTTTCCTTCTTTAACAAAAACATTGAGCTATCAATGTAAAGTTGAGGAAATTAAAATGGAACATTTTATGAAACAAACATATTTTTGTACAGCAAGTTGATAGTTAGCTAACACATTTTAATACTTTAAACCTGTTCCTTACATAGTACAGTAAAAGATACTTCTGTTTTGTTTGAACATTGTCATTAAAATTTCTGAACATTTTGAAATTGAGGTTTGAATTCATTAATGTAGATGGAGTCTCAGAATTCTTTAGAATTATATGCTTTTTTATTACTTCAGAATGAATCCATGGGACCAGCAGTTAGCGTAATGGCTATGTCGCTGGACTCCCACGTAGTCAACCGTGGTTCGCTTCCTGGACCTGGTGGCTTAAAACTCACGCCGGGCGTGTGTGCCCAAGATCCCGAGAGCAGAATGGAGGAGAAGGGGTTGCGGCGTGGCCATTCCCCCCGGGGGCGATTTCTCGCTTTCTGTCTCTGTCTGTCTGGCGAGCGCACGTGCCCTATGGAAAAAAAAAAAAAAACCAAAAAAAAAAAAAAAGAATGAATCCATAACTTTTCTGGTAAGTGAAGTTAACGATTCATAGTTGTATCTTTTTTAAAATTCTAATTTTGTCCAAATTGATTTAGTTTACAGATTCAAACTGAACTGTATGGTTTGGGGGTTTATGGGCTTTTGTTTTTGTTTGGGGAGTTGTTTTTCGTTTGTTTGTTTTTCCCAGTATTTTCTATAGGGTGTGTGTGCTCACCAGAGACAGAAAGAGGGAGGGAGGGAGGAAAATGAGAAATTCCCTCTCCCTCCCAGGAGCATGGCCCCACAACCACCTTTCTCTTCCATTCTCTTTTCAGGATCTTAGGCACATACTCACACGTGACCAGTGTGATTTTCAAGATGCCAGGTTCAGGACCCAAACCACAGCCAGCCTTGTGGGATCCAACACCTTAACCTCTATGCCACCAGCTAGTCCTATTTTTAAAAATTCATACACTGCAGATATTAAGCTCTATGAATCCAAGTAGTTCTCAATAATCAGAGCTTTGGCTATTAGATAATAGTAAATGTTAATGCTTTAGATCAAAAAGATTTTTGGTATGTTTTATTAATAGAAAAATCAGTTTACCTGGAATATATTTCTATCACAGTCTCTTAAATCTGAGGACAGGTAGTGGAAGTAGATGTCAGCAGTCTTTTATGTAGAAGTAACATCTTATTTATCCAGAGGTCACATTCCATTTTTATCTAATAACATACCCAATAGATAAAGTGCCTCAGGGTATTATGCAAAACTACTTCAGAAGCCTTTTTTTATTCCTTCAAGGAGATTACTGAATTTTTCCTTCATACTAGCTGTTTAGTCAGTACGGAAATCAAGTCAGCTGATAAGATGCTGCAGTTACATATCTGATTTCACAAATTAGTACAAAGAACACTACCAAATTAATGGAAACTTAGCTTGATGGCTGATAATCCAACCCTTCCCTTTTTTTGTTTTTTTCTTAAATTTTAGGTATGAGCCCTCTCGTGAGATGAAGAGTCAGTGGACAGCTGTCTGGGTGAAAATTTCTTCCAGCTGGATTGGCATTGTGCTGTATGTTTGGACGCTGGTAGCGCCATTGGTTCTCACAAATCGTGATTTTGACTGAATGGGACTTTGGCATGAAAGTCCCATGTGGATCACTACTTATTTGAAATAACAGTATTCTCAATTTTTGTAAAGTTGTGTACGTGTGTGTTTCCCATGTGACTTTTCCCATGTTGTTCTGGCATGAATTAGATTTTACTGCTTGCCATTTTTTTCCTTGCCAAGTGCACTGACACAAGAATCTGAATGAATAACAAGGGAGAGTTCTGTGAGTGTGGTGGTGAGTTAGAAAAAGTGGACATTGTTAGGCTTATCCTCTGTACTGTACCTGTGAAAATAAGAGTAAAAACAAGACTATTTGACAGTTGAACTTTAAAACTGTATTAGATCTGAAGTTTTAGGAAGCATAAATACAAATGAGTAGCTGCCTTTTGAATACTTTGTTTTTTTCCTTACAGGGGATTGCAAAGAACGTAGCTATTCTAAAATTGAATAAACAAATCACTTAAATGCCAATTGTCTGAAAAATTTTGTCAAGTTTTCCCATTGCTGTGAAGATCAGAAATTTATCCGTGGATAGTAGTGTTTATTGTAGGTTATAAGTGAAGATAGAGGGATAAAGTCTTTAAAGAAAGAAAGATTGGTGGTGCTGGGTATGAAATTGAGTATCTAGTGAGAGTATAATATTCCTTTGCTAGAGAGGGCTTTCACTAATAAAATAAACTTAGTTTTGGTCATTATAAAGCCATGTAAAAGTATGGGTTCAATGGACTGTGATGATAGGAACTCCAAAGGATTGAGGCAGGTTTTGATAAACATAAATCATGGGTTAGAAAGTTAATCATGTTAAAAGTTTTGTAAACAAAGGTATGATACATTTTTTACAAGGCAGGAAGAAACTCCAAAACACAATACTGAGGTAGGTACTCAAGAAAATCTACTATAGTATTCTCATTTTTAAAATGAAACTGAAACACATAAATAGCTCACAGCTACTTAGTGGCAAAGCTGAGAAAGTTCAAGTCTGCCCAAAATAGCATTCTCTGTTACATTAAAAATAATTTCTGTTCCAAATACATGAATAGTTGATTTTACACTTCATTAGTTATGGGTAATTTGTGTGATGTGGATTGCTGGTGTCCAGCATACCTTTTATCCCTAAGTTGGGGCCAGGAGAATGATGGACTGTTATAGAATAAACTCCTGCTTATAGTACACTGCATAGTTCAAAATAAGTTTAAAATGCTTTTGTATTTACTGCCATGTAAGTGAAAAATGTTGTTATAATCTTTAAATCTGAAAATCAAGCAGTATGACAGTTAACTTAGAAACTCCTAGTTATTTGTACATGTCATTAGAGTCTAAAGAAGCTTTGAAAATCTCCATTTGCGTCTTTAAAAATATTTATTAATGTAAATGAAATAATAATTCAACTTAACTCCTCAACCTTATTCTGTGTGTTGATTTTGTGTTCCACAATTTTGGATGGCTGTGTTATTGCAAAATAAATAAATTCAGAGGAAATGTGTAATGTATTAATTCTTTAGAACTTAAATATTAGCTGAAATACTCTAGCATACTTTCTTGTGTAAAAGAGAACCTGGTGTGAGAAAGTAATTGCTTTGAAGGTAATTTTTTTTTTTTTTTTTTTTTTTTTTACCATTTTTGTGACTCCTGAAGTTGGATGTCAAAAAGCAAAGTGTTTTCTTTTCCTCCCCACAGAGCTCTCATTAAGTGGACTACAGTTTGGGAAGTAATTTTAATTAATTTACTATTAAGTCATTGGGAGTCATGATGTATTTTTCTGAACAAAAATGTGTAATAACCTTCCTGATGACCCAGTAGATATTTCAGACCTTGTTGTATCCTCCAGCCATTTTTTCTACTTGCCAATTGATGCTTCACTTCTTTTATTGACTTTTTGTTTTGTTTTGGTTTGGTTTTTGGACACATGCCAGAGACAGACAGACAGATGGTGACAGTGAGAGGAAAAGTGAGAAATCTTCCTCCAGGAGGAATGGCCACACTACAATGTATTCCCCTTCTGGGATTTAGGACATGTGTACACACCCCCGGTCTGATTTTCGGGTCTAGTACTTTAACTGAAGTCAGCCCATGTGGGAATACAACGCCATAACCACCCTGCCATTTGCTGGCCTGTAATTGACTCTTGGGGTACTATAAAAATTCTCTTCAGAGGGACCAGCAGCAGTTAGTGTAATGGCTATGTCCCTGGGCTCCCAAGTACTTGACTGCGGTTCGGTCCCAGACCCAGTGGCTTAAAACTCAGGCCGGGCGCACGTGCGTGTATGCCCAAGATCCCGAGAGGAGAATGGAGGAAAAGGGCTTGCGGCATGGCCATCCCCCCTGGGGGGTAATTTTTCGCTGTCTGTCTGTCTGGCGAGCGCGCATGCCCTATAGCGAAAACCTCTCCAAAAAAAAAAATTAATTAAAAATAATAAAAATTCTCTTCAGAAAAAAACAGAGAATCTAATTCTACTGATAAATACTCCAACAAAAATGAATGACCAAGTTTTAGTATATTTAATAATTGGTATATTTAATAATTTAGCATATTTAATAATTCTGTGAAATCGTCTGAATTCCTGAGTCATTACCAAGTGATGTTTTTCAGAGCAGAAATACTTAATAAAGTGTAGTTTATCAATTCCTTAATGATTGTGAGTTTGGTGTTGTATCTTAAAAGGCATCATACACGTAGAACAATGCCCATAAAACTTTGGGCATTTATACTAGATAAGTGAAATCTTGTTCACCCAAATTCATGTACATAACTTTTCATAGCAGTTTAATATTTATTTAAATTTTCCCAGAGGGCATGTGCTCTGGCTGGAGAGAAAAGAGAGTGAGAAAACATTCCCCATGGGAAATGTTCACACTACAATCCCCTTTTCTCCATTTCTCCCTTTCAGGATTTTGGGTATGCACACACATGCGCCCAGCATGTTTCTCAAGCCACGGGGTCTGAGACTGAAACCACAAAACAGGCATGTGGGATCCAGGTGCCTTCACCTCCACTCCATAGGCTGGCCTGCAGCTTTATTTTTAATAGCCAAATTTGTAAACAACTCAGATGTCTTCCAATGTGTGGGAACGGCTAAATACACATGATACAGTTATACCATGGAATACTACTTAAAAAAGTGAACTACTGGTGCATGGAACAACTTTTTTTGGAGAGGGTTTTTTTTTTTTTTTTTTTTTTTTTTTTTGGTTACCGGGGCGTTGCAGACAGAAAGCAAGAAATCACCCCCCAGGGGGAATGGCCACACCGCAATTCCTTCTCCTACATTCTCCTCTCGGGATCTTGGGCACGCACGCACACGTGCCCGGCATGAGTTTTAAGCCACCGGGTCCGGGATGCGAACCGCAGTCGACTACATGGGAGTCCAGCGACATAGCCATTATGCTAACTGCTGGTCCCAGCATGGAACAACTTTTAACACTGGATAAAAAAAAAGCCAATCCCAAAAGATCAGAGTGTAATTCCATTTACATCGTATTTTATAATAAAAATTATAGACATGAAAAAGGAATTAATGGTTGCCTGAGGTCAACGATGGGAGGGGATAAGTGGGGATAAGAGAATGCATAAGGTAGTTATGTAGTCTAAATATATATAAGTTTGTGTGGACCTAAGTTTTCATCATATGCTGAGTCATATGGTGAGATCATGTTTAAGTCTTATAAGAAACTTCCAAAGTGTCAGAGGCCTTTTCATTTTGTCTTCCCTCGAGCAATGAATGAGAGTGCTTGTTTTTCCACATTTTCACCAATATCTATTATTAGTGTTCTGAGTTTTGGCCATTCTGATACATAGTTGGATCTCACGTTAAGTTGTATTTTTCTGATACTTAATGGGGCACATCTTTTTTATTATTAATTTTCTTATCATCATTTTTCAGTTTGACCAGAGAGAGAGAGAGAGAGAGAGAGAGAGGGAGTGAGTGATAAAGCAAGCCACCAGCTCTGGGACCTGAACTGAGTTTAGCCATGTAGAAGTCCAATTCCTTATTAATAACCATGCCACTTACCAGTCCCAGGAGCATCTTTTTTTAAAACTGGGTTATTATTGTTGAGTTTTAACAGTTCTTTATATTATTTTAGGTATAATTCCTTTACCAGATATATCTTTACAAATACTTTTTCTCAGCATGTGGCTTCTCTTTATTCTCTTGACTGTTATGTTTCTCAGAGCAGAAATAATTTTAATAAAGTCTAGTTATCAATTCTTTCATGATTGTGCCTTGGTGTTGTATCTAAAAAGTCATCACCAAACCCAAGGTCATCCAGATTTTTTTCTATGTCATCTTTCAGGAATTTTGTAATTTTTTTGTTTTACCTTTAGGTATGAGATCTATTTTGAGTTAATTTTTTTGAAGGATATGTAAGATGTAAGCCCAGATTTATTTTTTTCCATGTGTGTGGTCGGTTATTAACATTTGTCAAAAAGACTATATTCTGTTTTATTACTTTTGCCCCTTTGTCAGAGATCAGTTGATTATATATAGGTTTATTTCTTGGTATTCTATTTTGTTCCACTGATCTACTTAATCTTTTGCCAATACTACTGTCTTTATAGTAAGTACTATAGCTTTATAGTGAATCTTGAAGATAGATAGTGTCAGTACTCCAGTGTTGGTTTTCTCCTTTAAATATGTGTTAGCTCTTTTGAGTTGTTTGCCTCTCTTTATATAAACTTTTGGATATAATAGTACCCATAAAATATTAGTAGAATTTTGATTGGGATTGCTTTGAAACCGTAGGTTAAGTTGGAAGAACTGACATCTTAACAATATTGAGTCTTTCATTCATGAACATAAAATAAGACTTTTTTCTTTCATTAGTTTTGTAGTTTTTCTCATGAAGAGCTTGTATATATTTGGTTGGATTTATACCTAAGTACTAATTTGGGAGGTGCTAATAATTAAATGGTTTTTACTTTTAGATTCCACTTGTTTAGCCCTGGTATATAAGAAAACAATTTGCTTTTTCTATTTTAACATTATATCCTGGAAACCGGCAGTTAGCGTAATGGCTATGTCCCTGGACTCCCATGTAGTCGACCGTGGTTTGTGTCCCGGACCCGATGGCTTAAAACTCACGCTGGGTGCGTGTGCGTGCGTGCCCAAGATCCCGAGAGGAGAATGGAGAAGGGATTGCAGCGTGACCATCACCCCCTGGGGGGTGATTTCTTGCTTTCTGTCTCTCTCTCTCTGGCGAGCGCACGCACCCTATAGTGAAAAACCTCTCAAAAAAATAAATAAATAAAAAAATTTTAAAAAATTATATCCTGTTACACTGATATAATTGCTTATGAGTTCCAGGAAAATTTTTGTGGTCAGTTAATTCTGGATATTCCATGTAGATGATTGTCACCTGCTAGTAGCAACAATTTTATTTTCTTCTTTTCTCAATCAGTGTAACTTTTATTTCCTTGTCTTACTGTATTAGGTAGTACTTCCATTACATTGTTGAAAAGGGATGGTAAAATTAGACATCCTTGTCTTTTTACTGATTATAGTAGGAAAGCTATGTAATTTTTCACCATTTAGTAACCTGTTAGGTGTAGGGGTTTTTGGTAGATTTTTTTAAAAAATCAGGTTGGAAAATTTCCCCTGTTCTTAATTTACTGATTTCTTATGGATGGGGTTTTGGATTTTGTCAAATATTTTTCTGTATCTATTTTTATTTTTCCATGAAAGAGACAGTCATCTGGAGAGAGTGAAAAACATATGCAATCCACCTTCAACCTTAAATGTGTGCACCCAGCATGTTCAGGAAAGGCCTCTGTGGATATAAACCTGGAACTTTCCCACGTGGATCAGCCTCATAAAAATATTGTGTTCCATCGGTTGATATGATCATGTGAGTTTCTTTCTCTTTTGGTGGTGAGTTTAATTATGTCTCCACTGATTTTTTTCTGCTAGATCTGTCCATTTCTGCTATAGGTGTATTAAAGTCTCCTACCATAAGGGCCTTCACAAAGTTCATGGAAAAGGTATATTATGAAAAAAAAATTGCATGGATTTCAAAATTTTTTCACCAAAATAAACTTGTACTTTAATCCCATTTTCCCACAAACTTTTTGAAGTACCTTGTGCAATAATGGGTTCAACTATTTACTTTAATATGTTTCATTCATTCTGCTTATATTTGTAATAAAAGCCTTTAAGACTGCCCTTTTTTCCCTAAGGTAATACCTAAACTGAATCTCAGAAGTGTTCCTATAGATGGGTTTTTGTTTTGATTATTAACATCAGTATTTCTGTTTTACCACAGTTTAGAAGTTTCTTTTTCAAACTTTGAAAATGATAGGGAATTTTGAAATAGTCTACTGGTTTATAGCTAATCTGTATGTTGGTTAATCTGATACCAATTCCTTGAAATTTGCTGACTTCCTCTAGGATACTACATGCCATGCCAATTCTCAATAAATATTACATATATACTTGAAATGATGGTTTAGACTCTTAATTCTAAAATAGAGGGTTCTATATATGTTCATTATAATGATTATCATTTACACATTTTCTAGTCTGCAGACCCGTTTTCTTATATTGAACTCCATATGAAATACATACTAACACACCCTAAAAGACCATTTAGTTGTCCATAAGTCAATATAGACATAGAGCTGTCTATAAGCTCTCAAGGGTCTTACCTGTGTTTCCCCCTAATGCTGAAGGTAAAATGAAGGTGATCGGAGTTAAATCTGTACACTGTGGCACTTGTTTCCCAGATAGTACAGACTTCATCTGGTAAATACAAACTAGATTTATTTTTAAAGGAATGTTTCTATCTTTATTTCTCATGTATACTCTTTCCTAAAACTAATCTGCCTGAAAAGGTGCCCCCAAGTCAAGACATCATCCTTTTAAACATTACTCTTTTCCTAATTGAAAAAGACCTACCCTCTTACCTATTCTTAATCTTACCAAGGTACTTGGGGGGGGGGGTCTGAACACATAGTAAACGGACATTTTAAGATTATCAGTGAGAAAGAGAATGACATTAACTGGGTTAAAAAAAATCTTGTTGAGGGACCAGCAGATGGCGTAACGGTTACGTCACGTTGCTGGATTATCACATGGCCACCTGTGACCTGAGTCCCAGATCTGAAGGCTTGAAATACACCAGGCGCATATGTGTGTGTGCCCAAGATCCTGAGAGGAGAATGAAAGAAGAGACTGCAGCATAGCCAACCCCTCAAGATGGTGATTTCTCGCTTTCTATGTGTCTGTTTATCTGACGTTTGCATATGCCCTATAGCAAAAATACCTCATTAAAAAAAAATCTTTTTGCAATTCAGGTGGTTTTTAATTTTTTTACTTTCAAAGAAACTGAAAGGTAATCTAATTAAATCACTAGTGTACAGAACATAAAAACTAACTTGATAAATTGTTATATAATTCTGAAGTTCAAAGAATTCTATATGAAAATCCTTTCTCACATAGATTATAAAAAAAGTTTTACAATTTTACATTGATTAAAAACAAAAGGAAAAAACTGATGCTAAGTAATTATTTCAACTCAGGATCTGTTTATTCCACTAAAAGATTTCTGATAAAACTTTTTAATGTTTAACAACAGGGTATCAAAATTGGCACTATATTTTATTTATGAACACGAAGTTATAATTCATTAAACCCCAAAATAACTTAGAAGCAGAACAAAATAAAAGTTTGTTCCCTCCTTACCTGAAGTCTAAAACTGGGGTCAAGAACTGGTAAGTGGCTTATCTCTCAGTAGTGAGTAAGGAAGCCAAGTTTCTTCCTTCTTGAGTGTTTACTTAGAGGCTAAATACTTCTCTGTGCCAAGCCAGGGAGAGGTAAATGGCATGGAAGGCATGGAAGCCCGTAGACCATCACACCAGACCTGAAAGCGCAGAACATCCCTTCTGTTTTATATATTAGAAGTCGGTTACATATCTACCCAATTTGCAAAGGTGGAAATAATCCAGTGATGACAGGATGTAGAAATGTTTGGCAATCATTTAACAATCTCTACCACATATGTTTTGATCAAATGTGTATTTTTAACAGCCTTTGATAAACTTTTTAAGTGCCTAATATACCTATAGGCAACAATTTCAAATTTGGTTGTGGATAAGTGTGATGGGATCATCAATGTGTAACTTTCATGTATAATAAAAGGATAAAATTCTTTGAGAAAGGTGGAATGGATGATATACTGAGACTATATTCTCTGTCAAGTAATCAAATCACTATGGTATTTAGATCCCTACAGATACATTTAAAAGAAACAGGTAACAATTTTATTATAAAATGACAGTATTAACAATATCCTAAATTTCTCCCAACTACTTAAAATTAATTTTAAAATATGAAATGTGATCTTAAAAAGTACCAGGGTGGGGGACCAGCAGATGGTACAGTAGTCAACTGTGGTTGAAGTCCTGGACCCAGCAGCTTGAAACTCATGCTGGATACATGTGTAAATGTGCCCAAAGTCCTAAGAAGAGAATGGAAGGAGAAGGGACTGTGGTATGTCCACCCATCCCCCGGGGAGGGGGGTGATTCCTCATTTTCTGTCTCTCCAGCGAGCACTTGTGTCCAATAGCAAAAATCTCTTAAAAAAAATATACTAGGTTGGGGAACCAGCAGTTAGTGTAATGGCTATGTCGCTGGACTCCCACGTAGTCGAACGCGGTTCGCGTCCCGGACCCAGTGGCTGAAAACTCACGCCAGGTGCGTGTGCGTGCGGGCCCATGCTCCCTGGGGGGTGATTTCTCGCTTTCTGTCTCTATGTCTCTCTCTGTCTGTCTGGAGAGCACAAGCGCTCTATAGTGAAAAAAACCTCTCCCCCCCAAAAAAATACCAGGTTGGCATAACTTTACAAAATCAGCTTTAAAGTGCTTTTAGAACTCTGAGATACCGCCTAAGAGAAGAAACGTGGTCAATTTCCACAATGAAAAAGGGAAAGGAAAAAGAGAAAGTTAGTTTCTGCTCCTCTTAGTTCCTAAACTCTTCTCATTTTAACAACCTTTAAGAAAGTGACCTCTTTAGCTTATGCAGAAAACTGCTTCAAGGTCTTATTTACCAAGATCCCATTGTCAAAGTCAAGTATATTAGGATCTAACTTGGAGAAGGATTTCCTACTCCTCTCTGCTAGCCTTTCTTTGCCTCTTTATATCAGCAAAAAGAAATTCAATGATATGACCAAGAGGAAAGCCTTCCTTAAGTTCCTTACCGAATAGCAGTATATAATATTGTTATTAACTGGACTGCTTCTAGTCCTTTCTGCCTGAAGGTGGGATTCTTCAAGTGCTAAGGTGCCTTGGCCTTATATTAAGTACTGACAATTCTCATGAATAAGTGTTCTAAAGAGAAGAAATAGTTTGACAATTTCTCTTATCTTCCTTCCAAACAAAAACTGCAGGTCCTTGGATGGTATCTGGTGATAATGTTCCTATCTCATTTGGGACCAGGAGACACATATGTCTCTCAGTTTTATTAGAAATAGAAACCAAGCTAGTACAAAGAATAACTTTAAAATACATTTAGTCATTATATTTCTCCCTTGTTGCAATATAGTTCACTGCTGACATTAGGCACACAGATCTTGATGTGACTCATATTAGCAATGGAAAACAACGCTGCACAGAGAAAGCCAAGCCTGAAATGGCCAACAAGGCTTCAAGTTCCAGCCCTACTGGCTTAAAAAAAATACCCCAGACCTGCGGGTACATGCCCATGATCCTAATACGATAGAGAATTGGAGGAAAAAGGATTGTGCTGTGAATAGGCCTTGTTCCCAAAAGGAAGGGGGTTGGTGGTGCTCTCTCTTTTCCTCTCCAGTGTGCATGCATGCACCATCTGGACTCAAACAAACAAACAAAAAAAACAAATAAGCAAAAAATGGGTTAGATAGTGATACAGCAATAATGCAATGCAATGCTCTATGAGGCTGGCAAAGTCCCAGGTTTGAGTCCTGAAACTTTCCTATACAAGTAGGTGTGCACACCAGCCCATGGATCTAGGCTGGCTGAGGTTAGGGGTGGATCATTGCATGAAGACCCAACTGGGGGCACTTGTCTCCCTCTCTCTCACAGGAAAAAAACAACAAACTCAGAGGAAAAAAGAGGGGACTGGAAAGTGGCTCATCATGTAGTACTCTGTAAGACTGGCCCCCATAAGGAAGTTCTAGGTTTACATCCAGAGTCCTCCTGTAGTACACCAGGCATGCATGTGCCCACAATCCAGGGCTGATTTGAAGTTGTGGGTGGATAATGGCACTGGGACCCAATTACAAGTACTATCTCTCTCGCTCATGAAATAAACTTTTTAAAAAATGGGAAATATAGTTTAAAGCTATTTGCTTCCTATGAGAAGGAAAAATTATTTCCTGTGGTTGTCACCTCCAAAGAAGACACATAACAGACACTACTACTCAACGTTCATTATATTTATTTTACTAAATAGTATGGTTCAAAAAAAACACAAACCAGAAAACTTTTACTTAAAACTAGTCCAACTAAGTGGCTAGGGTTGACAACTTCATCCCATCCCCACCTTCTTTCTATGTATATAGAGGTGGAACCACATCAGGCAGTGGGCACTCATGCGTGCTTTGCCTTTTCTGTTGAACATGAATGAACTTCTATGAACATAAATGAACTTCTCTGAACCAAGAGAGACAAATAAAGTTTTACAAGATACAGGCACTTTATGTTCCCAGTTTTAAAAATAATCCAAGTGAAAAATATTTAATCAAACTGTAACAGAAAAAGCTTTAATAGTTATACCATTAGTTCTAGTGACTTACACTCAATGTAAACAGACGGCATCAAACAAGTAAACAAACATAAGTTTAACTGGGGTTAATGGTCATATTTGTGATTAAAAAAAGAAATCCAATTTACTGCAATTGGAGAAAAATGGCCATTTGAACCCAACTTAAATATATGCCAATAATGTGCATTAAATTTTATGTACCTATGCAGCTGAGTAAAATCTGAAAGCTTTACCAGAGTGTGTGGTTAGTGAGAAAAGCAAAAGGTGCTTTTATTCCACAGTATTGGATTAAACAAAACAAAGCAATTTACAAAAAAAAAAAAGTACCAAATGATACTTTAAAATAAATAGTTCATCATTTTGATGAATATATACACATAGAGTCCACTTTTGGGGATTTAGCTATCTAAAAGTGGCATATCACTATCCAGAGGTGCGGGAGCAAGTTCACATAAATAAAACAGTGTAGCTTCACTAGCTTCAGCTTCAGTCAATGGCTCTAGGCGAACGAGCTTACTCTGGGTTGGTTCTGGGTCCAGGCTGCTATCCAGAAGCTCATCAACTTCTATGGGTTTATCTACAGAGGACATAGCTTCTGATGATGCTGGTGTACCCCCCTGTTCAACAGTGGAAGCAGGGTTCCCATCGAGGAATGCAAGAAGTGGAAAAGCAGTGTACTGGATAAGCTGCTTATCTATAAAGATTGGAAAAACACTTTTTTTATCACCAGCTTATATTAAGTTCAAGACAAAGGGAGAAAAATGAAAACAGATGGGCGTATAGGCAATCACTACTCTTACATATTGCCAAACAAATGATATGACACACTGTGCCAGTAAATTTAAAAACCTGCTAGTCAGAAAAGATAGTATTTTATTCTGCAATTAAAAAAATAAGGGTTTGTTCAGTTTTCCCAAGTTAAACAGAAAAAAAAAAAAACTGCAATGTTAAGAATTGCTAACTTGTCAATTCAGTTTTCCTATATGCTAGAACCTTCATATGCTATGCACAGAACTGAACCCAGAATATTCTGTATTCAATTGATAAGTATAACAACACTTTCCCTGGCTTGCACTAGTTCCTACACAGGTCTTTTTTTTTTTAACTGCCAAAAAGCACGTGCATTTTCCATAGAATAATTACAGAGAGACAGAGAGAGGGAGAAAGCACCCTCCAATGGGGCATGGCCCATCTTCATGGCCCACCACATGCCCTTCTTCTCCCTTCTTCTATCCTCCATTCTTCTATCCTGTTGGAATTTGGGGCCCACACACATATGGTGGGTTTTTCAAGTCTCTGGGGTCAGGATTTCTGCACAGTTGGCCATGTGGGATCCAGCTCCCTCAATCATTAAGCCACAGGGCCAGCCCTCTATATAAGACTCCTTAAACAAACAAAAAACTATAGAAATTAATAATGTATCTATACCTACCTGGTTTGGATTTAGATTTTCTTCCCTCTTCTGAAGCTGGCTGAACTACATTGTTCTTGGAGGTTTCTAATCCTTTATTCTCAGACTAAAAGAAAAAAAATACATAAAAATATTGTTTCATATTTTATAGTTCCTTACAAATATCAAAGAATAAAAAATTGACATAGGCATACACAGAATATAGATGTATCAGAATACTATCTGAAATATACAGGAAGGATAAATATCAGGAAAGATGAACTAATGAAAGAGATTTGAGTAGAGTTAACAAGACTAAGAAAACTACTGTCATCAAGGGAATGAAAGAATATGAACTAGAATAACAGTGTGAAAAGGAGTGGTATTTCAATAGAACAGATAAAACTTATCATATGTTAAAAACGATGGGAATGAATCAAAGACAACTGGTTTCAGAATGCTAATCAAGAGATAATTAACTCTTTAATTTCACTTTAAACAGTTTTGTTTAAAAATATGTATTATACATTTCCCTTCACTGGAACAGAATATTTAGTGTAAGTAAACACAGAGAAGTTTAGGATAACATGGTGACATCCTTATAACTATCCCTATCTTTGGAGACCTCAAAGTTTTCTCTTCTTGTTTTTTTTGTGGCTTTCAGTTCTTTTCTGTCATTTAAATCACTTCTTTAAACCACTGTCTTCTCTCTTTACATTAAATCTTTTAATGTTGGTAAGTTCTTCAATGCTCTTTCAATGATGTTCAAAATCTGAATTGCAGAGGTTCTTAATTTTTCCTGAATAGCTAGCTGTTAAGTCCCAGATACCTGCAAGTCCCAGACATCTACATGCTGGTTAAGTACATATAGTGTAACAAATATCTGTATACTGATTCCTATAGTTCCCCTGATATTCATCATAAAATGAAGCAGTACAAGTTTCCAGAATTCAGAGAAGATAATGATCCCAAGATATAATAAAAACTAAGATTTCCAAATATTTCCATAAAAATATTTCATCATTTACCATTTACAATAGACATTAATGCAATAATCCCATTGTTAGTTTTATACTTCCTAAAATAGGTATTTCCAAAGGATGCAAATCTTAGAATTCTAAAACATGAGAACCAGGATAACAAATAGGTTTCATTTTCCATAGAAACTCTTATTCATTTGTAGTGGCCACTTAAATTGTGTATTGAAGAATTTAAAGCGTTCTGATTTTTAAAGAAAGTGTCATAATCCAGGTCATGTAATACCTGTCATGCATGAAGCTGGCTGAACTACATTGTTCTTGGAGGTTTCTAATCCTTTATTCTCAGACTAAAAGAAAAAAAATACATAAAAATATTGTTTCATATTTTATAGTTCCTTACAAATATCAAAGAATAAAAAATTGACATAGGCATACACAGAATATAGATGTATCAGAATACTATCTGAAATATACAGGAAGGATAAATATCAGGAAAGATGAACTAATGAAAGAGATTTGAGTAGAGTTAACAAGACTAAGAAAACTACTGTCATCAAGGGAATGAAAGAATATGAACTAGAATAACAGTGTGAAAAGGAGTGGTATTTCAATAGAACAGATAAAACTTATCATATGTTAAAAACGATGGGAATGAATCAAAGACAACTGGTTTCAGAATGCTAATCAAGAGATAATTAACTCTTTAATTTCACTTTAAACAGTTTTGTTTAAAAATATGTATTATACATTTCCCTTCACTGGAACAGAATATTTAGTGTAAGTAAACACAGAGAAGTTTAGGATAACATGGTGACATCCTTATAACTATCCCTATCTTTGGAGACCTCAAAGTTTTCTCTTCTTGTTTTTTTTGTGGCTTTCAGTTCTTTTCTGTCATTTAAATCACTTCTTTAAACCACTGTCTTCTCTCTTTACATTAAATCTTTTAATGTTGGTAAGTTCTTCAATGCTCTTTCAATGATGTTCAAAATCTGAATTGCAGAGGTTCTTAATTTTTCCTGAATAGCTAGCTGTTAAGTCCCAGATACCTGCAAGTCCCAGACATCTACATGCTGGTTAAGTACATATAGTGTAACAAATATCTGTATACTGATTCCTATAGTTCCCCTGATATTCATCATAAAATGAAGCAGTACAAGTTTCCAGAATTCAGAGAAGATAATGATCCCAAGATATAATAAAAACTAAGATTTCCAAATATTTCCATAAAAATATTTCATCATTTACCATTTACAATAGACATTAATGCAATAATCCCATTGTTAGTTTTATACTTCCTAAAATAGGTATTTCCAAAGGATGCAAATCTTAGAATTCTAAAACATGAGAACCAGGATAACAAATAGGTTTCATTTTCCATAGAAACTCTTATTCATTTGTAGTGGCCACTTAAATTGTGTATTGAAGAATTTAAAGCGTTCTGATTTTTAAAGAAAGTGTCATAATCCAGGTCATGTAATACCTGTCATGCACAAGGGTAAGAAAGATGATGGACCAATTATTCAGAAACACTAATCTAGATTCAGAACTATAATAAAAAGTCATTCTGAAACTTAATTTTTCCTCTACTATTGTAGAGCAATATGCAATTTGCTATTTATTTCTGAAAATTATTCAGGTTATTAGTTTTTGGAACAACTAGGAAGACTGAATGAATAACTCAGTGTGTAGCAATAAATAGTAAAAGCACATTCATTAAATGAATGATACATATCCTATGGGTTCATTCAACCTAAGGGTTATGGCTTAATAATATTCATTATCGTATTTACTGAAGCACAAAGCAGAGGAGGTCAACAGACTCTTACAAATCTAGGCAAACTGTGATCTACATGGCGAATTTAGCATGCTGCCTATCTATTAATAAAGTTTTACTGGAATACAGCCACACAGTTTTTAAATATATTATCTATATATGCTGTTGTACTACAACTGTAGAAATTAAATAATTGTGACAAGAGAACATATGGTCTGCAAAACTGAATATATCTGCCAGTTGTCCCTTAGAGAGAAAGTATGCTAGCCCCTAATATAAACCATCCAAATAATGAATATATAATCAGCTTCCTAGTTTACAATGTCATAAATTCCTCAAGTTTTAAGTTACTCAGGCTGTAACTTTGAAAATAAAGAAAATCTGGTCAAGCTATTCTAACACATGACAATAATCAGAAAAATTCTACCCTCTTACTCTAATCACTAATACTTATTTGAAATGTTCTCATTTTTAGGCTACAAAGAGTAAGAATCAACATAAAATTATTTTTAGACTATGTTTTAGACTACAGAGAACAAGAATCAAAATAAACTTCACTGATCTGAAATCTGTACTTACTAACATTTGTATTCAATGAAAAAAACAAGGGTTACTCACAATTTGGTATTAATATAAGATAAAAGGAGTATGTACCTACTCAAGACAATTAAGTTCTATAAAATAAGAATGATTTATAAATATCTACTCTGATAGCTTCAACTGTCCTTACTATTCATAAAAAAAAACAATTCTAAGGAATTTGTCAATATGGTGCCTATTAAACTGGAGTTTCGTAAGTTTTAAAAAATAACATAATCCTTGTAACTTAGAAAATGGTCCAAAATTCACATATCACCGTCCAATTTGCCTTTTCTCCATTTAGTGCTACCTCCTAAATTTCTACTGTAGGCTAATAAAATGTAAAAAATTTACTAAGGGTCCTGGTAAACTTTCAATAAAAATTTCTGAGAAATTGTTTATAGAAAGAATAAGAATGTAAAATCCAGCACATAGAATATGGAAAAAAATCATTTTAATCATTTACTTCAATGATATACCTGAACATGCCAAGTTTAGTCAGGTGCTCTCCCCAGCACCAAAAGAGGCCAATTTCATAATAGTCATTAATCTCACAGGTGCCAGTAGAACTGGGCAAGAACCCACAATTAAAAGCTAATTTTTCACTTAGATTTTTACTACCTTGATCACACATACGTAAGAATAAAGAATGCTTTTTGTTTCTGGGAGTGATACTACTCTCTACTTACTAGGATCTTTTTCAGTTTTTATAGCTATGGTCCTAAGCAACATGAATTAAAACTTACTTTTGTATTATTGATGTAATCTGTGGGATTCATCTGCACAGAACTAGTGAAAAGCTGAAAGACCAAACAAGAAAGATGATAAGTTCAAAAAATAATTTTAAAAAATTGTGTGTTCAAAATTTTTATATAGCCATGTCGAGTGAAGAGATGTAGTTCCTGCACTAGGAAATTTCTATACAATAAAACAAGTTTTAAGAGAAAAGCAGGCAAGAAAAAGAAAAAACAAACAAACTAGCCCATGCATTAGATGGGATTTCATACTGTAAGATTTTCTCTATTAAAGACTAGTGTAAATCACTTGGGACAAATGATTTTTCCCACCTCCCCTCTTTCATTATTCTCCATTCATTTTTATTTCCTTTATTTTTTTTCTCCCTAAATGTCTTTGGTTACAGTGACACCCAGGGCTGCATCCCACACTCTGACACTAAGCCTTCAATGAAATCCTGCTAATTATAATTAGGTGACAAATTTATCGACTCTGTGCTCTGACAATGGTTCCCAAAAACCTCAAGCAGAGCCCTCTGACAAAAGGGGCTAGTTGTTCGCTCTTTTACCTCATCTAGCTCGGAAGATTTTAAGTGCTAAGAATATTGCTTACTGTATTCCTCAGTCCAGCCAGTTTAAAGATAAAACTTCGAGTGAAACTTCAAAGTCATTCATTCACAGGGATTTACTAAGTATCTAAGAAATAACTGACATCATGAAGAGTACAAGATGACAATGTTATTCCTGCTCTCCGGGAGCTTACAATCTAAAAGACAAGACCAACATCAAATAGCAGCATATATACAGATACAATCTACTACCTACAACAAAAGATGGTGGCATTCCAAGTACTAAGGAATTAAGAAGAAAGGAAAGTGCGCAGCACATGCACACATACATACACTCCCACGCAAGATGTAACAAAAAGGCCTTGAGAGTCGCTGGAAAATGGTTAGGAATGAGGAAAGAGAGAATAGAAGGAAGAGTACTTTGGTACAACACTAGCAATAACTAGAAGGTAGGGTATGCTGTAGAAATAGGTAAGAAAGATCAGTCTAAGAAACATAGAAGTTCTGAGTTTAAGTATTCAAGAGTCTTTAAGAAACTTCATAGAAAATACACATATTATGAAGACACTATGAGCAGATTTCAATTTTTTTCTGCACTGAAATAAACCAGAACTTTAACCCCATTTTTCTACCAGCAGTCTGAAATCAACTCACATACATATAGGTTCAAAAAGTAAAGTAAGATCAGGCAGTGGATGAAGTCACTTTCTGTCAGCAATAACAGCCTTAGGAATGACTGAGTGATGATGAAATGCAATCATTAAATTACCATTTTATGAAAATAGGCAAGCCAAATGATTCACAGGACAGAATGAAATGCAGGGGCGAAAGGTATACTTTTCCTCCATTCTAAGACATTAATTCCTCTCTTTACAAGAGACACATTTCAAATGCCCCAATGAATGCCTGAAACCACAGAGATAGTGATCAATGCAATATATACTATAGTATCCTTTAATATATAATTACTTATTTAATTTTATTTATTCACTCATTTATTATGATTTGACCAGAAAGAGACAGAGAGAGAGAAGGAAAGTGAGGGAACAAGCCACCAGGTCTGAGACTTGAACCATGATCTGCCATGTGGGAGTGTCCAGTGCCTTAACCCACGCCACCTACTGGCCCCCTGTGGTTTCTTTTTAATCTGATAACCAATATGACTACCAAGTGATTTAACAGGTAGGTAGCCTATACAATATAGATAGATTAAACAAAATGATGATTTACATCCTAGGCGGGACAGACTAGGATGGTGTAAATTTCATCATGCTACTGAAAATGGTATGCAATTTAAAACTTATTAATTACTTCTGAAATTTTCCATTTAATATTTTTGGACCATAGTTAATCAGGCAACTGAAACCATGGAAAGTGAACTGAAACCGTGGGGAGGGTTACTATAATCCTAAAAATATCCCTGACTCTTCCTTTCCTTTTTATTTCTTTCTTTTCCTTTCATACCACCTACTGATCCCTGAAAAGGAAAAGTGCTCATATCCTTGAGAATAAATAAAAAATTACCACCAATATTCTCAAGAATAGCTACCAATCTTTGCCAGGTTAGCATGTCACCACCCCAGAAGTCTGATGAAATTTGCCCCTACCAAGAATGAGCCAGCAATAAAAGGTCCTCTCTTTCTCTCTCTGTCTTCTATCTCCTACCCACTGACTCGGGAGTATAGTATGTGCAATCTCAGCAGACATGGTATAAATTGTCAAAAAGAAGCCCATATATGAGAACTGACATAGCTGGCTAACGCCAGGATCCTGCTGACTCTCCTGTGGAGCACCCAGTACTGTCTCTGTAGAGACAAGCCATGAACTTTTCAACCTATTTACTTATTGTCTTTACCATTTTTGCCATCTAAAGAACATGGCAATACATGGGTGAATTTTTTAAAAACTTGTGGTAATACTGCATAGAATTCAAGAATAAAATAATGAGGGTATTAGAGGAAGGACAAGTAATAGTGAAACAGAAAGTGGGGATGGCTTCTTAATGCTAGTTTAAATACACACAGGACTTAATGAATGATGGGTAAAAATGAAAGAAACCAATGTGATTCCATGGTGACTATCCTAGGTGAATAAACATAAGTTTAATACTACTACAGAAAGTTAAAAAGCTGTAAAGGGTACTCTGATGAGAAATAAAGCACAGTTTGGAGTTAAAAACAATCTGACACAAGATCTAAATGGCATGGAATTAGAATTCAAGCCAAATTTACTTTAAAAATTATGAAAAGTTGAATATATATATTTGAGAATACTAATAAGTTGCCAAAATCTCTTCATAGAGGAAGAGTAGGAAAAAAAAAAGTGGTAAAAAAAATAAAAAGAATGTAAAACTGGGTAGCCTTGGAGGAAATTATCGTAAGTTGAAGACTGAAAGAGGAAAAAGAAAAGCTTTTAGAGAAAATGTAGAATGATCAGTACCCCTAAAATCAACAAATAGTTCTGAGGTAGAATACTCAACACTATTAACAACAGTGTTATTTATAATTCTTGTAACAACCCTTCATGTTAGGCATCAGCCACAATTAATAGATAGGAAACTAGGCAGGAAAGGTTAACTTTTCCAAGGTTAATTTAATAGCTAGTACACAAGAGCCAACAACAGAACCCAGACTTGACTGATTTAAAACAAGCCTCCTTCCAATAGCCCAATGAACTGATTTAATAAAACAAAAATCACCCAACTTACTACGGTAAAACCAAGACAGGCAGTACAGGCTAGAGTAAATAAGCAAGACAATATAGGAACTCAGAAGAAATAACAGTAAAAAAAACAAAGATAACAAACACAGTTACTCATTTCTAATGTTTTGTAGCAAAGGCATTAGAGAAGGAGAATGGTAAATGAGTAAGGCAAAATATCAAACTACTTAGTGTTTAAAATTGGGGAAAATCATTCCTATTCAGGCAGATAGGAAAATCAAGGATAGGAGGGAAACAAAAAAAGAAAAAAAGTTTTTTCTCTTAAGTCCCTTTGACCTATCCTCTATTACCCATCTCCTCTCATACTCTTATCAAATATAAGATTGTAAAGTTCTCTGTTGAAAATGATGTTTATGGTAATATCCTTGCTTTATTGATTATTGCATGCATACATACCCTGAATAAAAGTATTGTGTACTATGAAGATAAACAATGAATTAATGTACTAACAAAATATAAAATTAAAAAAAGAGGGAGAGGCAGGCAGGCAGAGGACAGGAGTACAAATTGGCTTTAAAGAGAGACTACTTCCTTGAAGAAGAAAGGACATGAGATTGGAAATAGAGCCACAATTTATAAGAATACCAGGCCACAGTGAAAAATCCCCTGGGGAAGGGAAAAAGTCTGAATAAGGTCTTGAGATATTTATGGTAAATAATCTAAAGTTGAATTAAAATGACCTAGTTGAAAACTGCAGACTTGAAAATGCCAGAACTATGGGACTTTATTTTGTTATTAGTGATCTAAAGGACAGATCTTCTAAAAGGTCCCTATATTCAGAATGGGGACAAGGGCTGACAGAATAAAGTAGGGCTGTCAGTTTGCTGTTAATGAAATTAAGTAGTTCATCAACATGGAGGCTTACTTTATTCGCTTAAAATGTTAACAGGTCAGCCTAGAAAAATCCTTGAGGAAGACTGAAATCCATCCGGTGAGGTGCTGATGATTTGGAAAGGGTGATAAAGTTATGAGACACTGGCAAAGACTGATGTGCTACAGAGGAGTAAGGTAGTGAATTAATGGAGTGAAAATAAGACTGAAGAATAATCTAGTGGGACCAGCAGTCAGCAATAATGGCTATGTCGCTGGACTCCCATGTAGTTGAGGTTTGAGTCCCGGACCCGGTGGCTTAAACTCACACCAGGCGTGTGTGTATGCGTGCCCAAGATCCCGAGAGGAGAATGGAGGAGAAGGGATTGTGGTGTGGCCATCCCCCCTGGGGATTGATCTCTCGCTTTCTGTATCTCTGTCTCTGTCTTTGTGGCAAGTGCACGCGCCTCATAGCATAAAAAAAAAAAAAAAAAAAAAATTTTTAAAAAAAAAAAAAAAAAAAAAAAACTCTTCAAAAAAAAAAAAAAAAAGAATTTAGTAAGAGAGTAAGAAAAGTGTAGATTCTTTTTAGCCACACTGAAAGGCTCTTTAAAAGAATAAACCCATAGAATCATTTCATGTGGGAGAAGCTGCATTCTAAGGCAAAAAAAAAAACCAAAAAAAAAAAACAAAAAAAGAGAACAACAAAACATTCCAGGACAAAGTGAGACATACGGGTCATATCTGTGATTAAAAAAAGAAATCCAATTTACAGCAATTGGAGAAACATGGCCATCTGAACCCAACTTAAATATATGCCAATGATGTGAACATTCCAGGACAAAGTGAGACATACGCTCACAACAGAAAAATATAAACAGGAGAGAGAACCAGATTGGGATCACGTCATATAAGAAGCTTTTGGTGAGAGTCAGTAGTAGTACAAACAAGAACAAAGAGAATAAAACAATTAGTGCCAGAAATCATGGATAAGGACAATCCAGATAATATTGGAGTTAAGTTCACAGAGACTGTGGTAAGGATTAGAGCATGGGAATCTTGAGACTCAGGCTATAAAATGACAAATATATTTGGGCAGAAAATGTGAATTCCCAAAGAGTTAGTAATGTCTCTATGCTGTTGCCTGGTTAAGAACCTCTATCACTAATTTCCACAGGGTTCTACTCAGTGACAATTTATTCTAGAGCAAAACATAACACAGCCACAAGTCCAGATAAGATCTGGATTTTAATAGTACTATTAACTAGAGTTGGTATGCTAGAGGGATTAACTGAACTGCTACTCAGGTAGTGATCAATCTTCAATGCCCCAAACCCATATCTGTTCATATTTTTTCTGATAAACAAAACCACTTATTTAAAAAATAAACTACAAAAACAACAACATATATTTAAAAAGGCCTGATTTTTAAATTATATACATAAATATAAAAATTACCAGTAGAGCAAAGATTATCCAAAATACCTACATCAACCAGGAGATCTGGGTCTATGCTAAACTGTCTTCCTGACAGCATGGCTTGGAAGTCCTCTAAACTGCAATCAATACTGTCAAGATAATCCAACAGCTCAACCCTAAGGGGAAAAAAAAAAAAAATCAAACATTAGGTTTTCTTGTTTTTGTGTTTCAAATCCCTGTTGAACCCTGGTTAAGCAAAATATTTCTAGCAACTGAATTCTTACTAATTCTTAATTTTAAGAGATCCTATTCAAGATTTGAGATTCCTAAAAATTTGGGTAACTGAAAACTCATAAATTTCGGGACCAGCAGATGGCATAATGGCTATGTCGCTGGATTCCCGTGTATCTACCTCAGTGTGAGTACTGGACCCAGTGGCTTAAACTCATGCCGGGCGCATGTGCACCTGAGATCCTAAGAGGAGAACAGAGCAGAAAGGACTGCAGTGTGGCCATCCCCACTGGGAGGTAATTTCTCGCTTTCTGTCTCCCTGTCTCCGTCTTTCTGGTGAGCGTACACATCCTATAGCAGAAAACCTCTCAAAAAAAAAAAAAAAAAAAAAAAAAAACTAAAAACCCTCATTTATTTCAGTATTGGGGCCAGCAGGTGGTATAGTGGTTAAGGGGCTGGACTCACACACAGCCAATCATGGTTCAAGTCCCAAACATAGTGGCTTGAAAAATCATGTCTGGCGTGTGTGTGCACATGCCCAAAATCCAGAGAGGAAAATGGAGAAGGGACTACAGTGTGGTCATACCCACTTTCTCACTTTTCCCCACTCTCTCTCCACAAAGCACATGCACCAGCATGGCAAAACCTTAAAAACAAAATAATATTTGTAGAAAAATAATTCTGCAATAACATAGTCTGATTTAACTCTTCTTCTCTATTACTAAATGCTGAATCTTATTACTGATTGTTACTAATTATTAATTTTCATTATACCCTAAATCATTTAATAGAAATTAAATTATTCCATAATCTTGACAGAAAAGAAATACATACAATCACAGACACCTAAAGACACTCAAAACAAGCATTGCACTAAAAAAAAAAAAAAAAAGAGGAAAAAAATTTAAGGAACAGTCAGGAAAAATCCCAAGACTTCTACTGGGCCAATTAAATCTCTCTCATTACAGAGGTCAACCTTGACCAAAACAGAACAGTGGACTACATGGGTTCATCATCCAAAAGGAAGACCACTCAAAAATAAATGAGATGTAAAATAAAAAAGAAAGAGATAATTTTAGACAATATCTAGAAGAGCACTCACTTTCCCAAGAGATTAATGTTATCATTCAATATAGAATCCATCATGGTCACAGGATCTTCTGTGGTCAAGCTGGATGAGCCATTTAGCTGGACAGCACTAGACATGAGTGGGCTGGTGCAATCACTGCCTGAACTTAGGGATTCTCTGGCTGGTTCACTCTGATCTCCACTCTGAATAACAGGTGCATATTCATCTTCATTGTCATCTTCAACAATGACAATATCAGGGTACTGGCTAAAAATAGATCAGTAATACAAGAAAGGCAAACCAATCATAATTATGAAATTCAGTCAAATCAATTGATGCATTTATTTTCCATGGAAAATCTCTCTTCATATCACATATTGAAAGGTTTAAATTTCCTGAGCAGCTCAATTGTAAATATGAACACTTCACAGGATACAAGACCATAAAAAATCAAAAGGAAATATTTTATTATTTTTTTTTTAACTTGCTATAATCATCACAGAGAGACAGAGAAAGTGAGAAGGTCGACTTTCAGGTCCAGTCAAAGACTCAAACCATGGTCAGCCACATGAGAGAGAGTCCAGCGCCTCAACCACTATGCCACCACTGCCCCCAACAAGAAGTGTTTTTAACATAAAAATAAAAATAGCAATTAATTATCATACTTCTTCACTTACAGACAAGGTGTGGGGTGGAGCAGGAAGAACAGAGGTGAAGGGGAGGCTTTATCTCGTTGAATAATTTGGCTTAATTATTTAGTTTAATAATCCAAACATAAGATAACAGTTTATCTAAGAATAAAGTTGATTAATAAGACAAGTGACCAATACTTTCACAAATTTTTCCTCACAAACTCCTTACCTGGAGGGATCAGATATAACATCCTCATTAGTTTCTGGAATAACTGGGATATTTTCTTCATCCGCATTATCGTCAGTAACATCATAAATAATGATGTCATCTGAAATCCGTTCTCTTGGCTTTAAACCTTCAGTCCTACTGTGTGGAACCTAAAAAGTCAGGGAGAAAAGATTTATCTAGAAATAAAAATCATACTGGCTACTAAACAAGGTTATCATTTAAAAAAAATGAAGTCCTAATATATAAAAAGTGTTGGGGATACAAATGGTAAACACAACCGATACATCCTCTGCTTTTATAGGAAACATATACTAACTGGTATTAGAAGTACCAATTCACAGGAGTATGAAACATATTATTTACTTTCTACTCAACTATTTCTTTTATTATAAGGACCTTGAAAGTACTATGCTTAAGAATGTTTCTCAGGAAAGAGCTTCAATTTCTGAAATTTTTAAATATCTAAACAGTAAGAAAATGCTTAGAATGTCATCAGAAATTTCGAACATAACCACACGGCCACTGTGCTGATGGGAATTATTTAATCTACAACTACTCTGATTTGACATATTTGATTTTGATTCATTAAATGGCTTCGCTAAGACCAAAAAAGCATTTCAATAGCTTAATGTCAGCCTGGCTTTCTAGCAATAATTTTTAAAAATTATTCTACAAATACATTCAGATAATAATAAAGTTGATAATTCTCTAAAGCAAACTAAAGTCATGAATGTAAAAACCTGTAAACCTCACACTAGACAATAAAGAAGCAAAAAATGTGAAGCACTTTAAAATACGTAAATGTAGGTAAATATAAAAATATCCATTCATGGGACCAGCAGTTGGCAAAATGGCTATGTCACTGGACTCCCATGTAGTCGACCGCAGTTCAAGTCCTGGACCCAGTGGCTTAAACTCACAACAGGCATGTGTGCGTGCATGCCCAAGATCCTGGGAAAAGAAGGGACTGTGGCATGGCCATCCCCCATGGAGTTGATTTCTTGCTTTCTGTCTCTCTGTTTCTCTCTCTGGCGAGCGCATGCACCCTCTAGCAAAAACCTCTCACACACACACACACAAAATGTATCCATTCACTTACATTATCTATCAATTCTAAAACCAAAATAGGTATATTATTTAGAAACTGGTGGTAAGGGGAAAAAAAAATCTTGAGACTTTAATAATAAATCTGAAGCAATATTTAGAATTTTAAGAATTAAAATAATGTTAATGAAAGAGGTCTGAATACTGGACTACTTTGCCACTAGATATAAGTTTGACAAATTATCTAGAGAATCTGGGAAAAAAAAATGAAGATAAACAAAAATATTGAATCTGCATAATAAAAAGCAGTTCAGTCAGTGTACATTTATAACAGAAGTTTGAAACAAAATAACTAATGGAAGAATGCACAATCATATTACATTATTTTAATTACATTACAATATTTAATACAATATAGCACCCTGAAATAAAAGAACTAAATCTGTTTAATCTCAAAAGCAATACTAAGAACAAAACTCATATAGCAAAATATGTATAAAATTATATCATTTATAGTTTAAGTATATTAAAAATAATATCAAAAATTGTTCCTAGAGGGAACCAGCAGTTAGCGTAATGGCTATGTCGCTGGACTCCCACGTAGTCGACCGCGGTTCACGTCCCAGACCCGGTGGCTTAAAACTCACGCCGGGCACGTGTGCGTGCCCAAGATCCCAAGAGGAGAATGGAGGAGAAGGGATTGCGGTGTGACCATCCCCCCTGGGGGGTGATTTCTCGCTTTCTGTCTCTATGTCTCTCTCTGTCTGCCTGGAGAGCACACGCGCCCTACAGTGAGAAAAAAAAAAAACTCTCTCCAAAAAAAAAAAATTGTTCCTAGATTCATACATAAAAAATGGCCATTAGGAATGATTTATAGCAATTCAAGATAGTAATTACCTATAGGGGAGAAGAAACAAGGAAGGAGAAAAGAAGAGAAATGAACTTGGAATTAGGCAACTGGGAAAACTGTATTTGTGAACTTATTTTCTTACGGTAATTTAGAATAAATAATGAAAAAGGTCAGGATTTAATAAAGCTGGAGGATAAGCACTTAGATTTATACGTTTCTGAGTGAATGAAAATACTGCCATACTATTAGTTTAATTTAAAACAATAAATATATAATTTCATAATACTGCCATAATAATAGTTTAATTTAAAACAATAAATATATAATTTAAATAAAAAATTACTTTATGATGGTGATTATCAGTTGGTTCTTTGACTATGTGTTGAAACAGATTCTTCTTTTGGGCTCCATTAGTATTCAGAAGTAGAGGCCTAGAAATTAAAAGAATATTCAAGCAGCTCAGTGAAATAAATACATAATGAATTTAAACTGCTTCTAATAATGTACACAAAACATTCAATTTAATAAGCGAAAAAAATTTTCATTAAAAATATACAAGGAACTAAAAAGTGACTACATATTTGGAATAGAAATTGGGGAGTCAAAATATCTAATACTTTAATTCTCCATGCTTCTGTACTATTTTTTAATAATAAATATGAACTACTCTCTCCAGTATAATTCACTGCCTATTGAACTATACAACCTACATGAACTGTAATTACACAATAAACTATAGTTAGCTAATATCATTAAGAACAAGTTAGTGAAAAACAGTTAAAGTCACAAAGCTCTAATCATAATAAAACTTTGCAAAAAATCTCAGTCCCACAGATAATCTTTTTCTCTTTCCAGCAATTCCCTGTCCATTACTATCATGTTTTAGTTGTGACAACGGTAATTACTGACTTAAGCATCACAATCCATAGCTATAACATATAGATTTCGAAAGTCTCTAAGTAGGGGCCAGCAGGTGGTGTGGTGGTTAAGGTCCTGAACCTGGTGGCTTGAAATATGCCAGTGCATGTGTGTGTGTGTGACTCAAATCCTGAGAATGGAGGAAAAGGAACTGTGGCATGGCCATGTCCCCTTTGAGGTGGTTTCTCACTTTCCCTCTCTCTTTTTGTCTGGCGAGCACATGTGCCCTATGGCTTTAAAAAAAAAAAAAGATCTATGAGTGAATGAAACATGAGTGATACCGAATAAAACAAATTCTAATTTTTTTTTTCAACATACGGCACCTTTATTAGAATTTCCCTTATTCGGGCCTCCAAAGGCTACTCTAAATTTCTAATGTGAATGAAAAGTAGATTATTAACAATATGTATGTATGTATATACACACACACAGACGTATATTTATAAAATGATCATGTAGCCTATCCTCTCTTAAAAACACTAGCAGGATGACAAGAGTAGAAAATACTCCCCTCTGGAAAAGTTAAGAGTATAATTTAACAAGGGAAGCCTATTATCTTAGGACAAGTGATATATTAGGACAACTGGCATACACTCAGAAAATGCAAGCCATTTATGATTTAACACTAAAATATCTGATTGTTTATTTATAAGCCAAATTATTTTGTCATAAAACTTACCTTTTACGTTTTAAACTCACAAGCTGGTTATTCTGAACCAATGTAACAATAAACTGGACAATCTGAAAGGAAAATACAAATAGCCAATTCTCCCATTATAGATGACTAATTCTTTACATTACCAGGTCTTATAAAACTAATTCAGATGATACATGTCCTTTATTCTAAGTCACATAATTCCTCATATATTAACATATAAAATTTGGACACATTTTATCACATGTCTAAAGAAACACACCAGTTTCCAAAAATTTGTATTTGTTTTGGTGATAGGTACCAAACCTACCTAGCTGTAGACACTTTTTACTTGAAATACTTCCAAGAAGATTTCATTATGATACTAAAGAGAAAATGTGTTTGATACACAAAATTTTTCTTATGCGAAACAATGCAGTCAGAGGTAAATGAACTGCCAATATTCTCAAAATGGATCATAAAATTACAATTTTCGAGTAAGAAAAACTTTACTGATTCTATAAAGATCATTGTTGAAGCACATCTGTTAAATCTTCCTGCTCACAATCAAGAGATTCTGACTTAATCTTTTTTTTTTGGAGAGATTTTCACTGTTAGGGCGCGTGCGCTCGCCAGACAGAGAGAGACAAAGAGACAGAAAGCGAGAAATCACCCCCCAGGGGGGATGGTCACGCCGCAATCCCTTCTCCTCCATTCTCCTCTCGGGATCTTGGGCACGCACGCACACGCGCCCGGCGTGAGTTTTAAGCCACCGGGTCCGGGACACGAACCGCGGTCGACTACGTGGGAGTCCAGCGACATAGCCATTACGCTAACTGCTGGTTCCCCTGACTTAATCTTGACCATCTTATTTACTGGGAAAACTATTAGCTAAACAGACCAAGACATGCAATAAACCTTCACATTTTATAATGGTGTTTTCTTCTTAAAGTGTGGCCCATGGGCCAACAACATTGGCCTAGGAACTTTGTTAAACATGTCAATTCTCAACAACACCACAGAACTACTGAATATGAAAATCTGAGGATGGGACCCAGCAATGTGTGTTTATTCTGCAAGCCCTCCAAGTAATATTGATCCAAGTGGAAAAATTAATGGCTTAGGGTATATATTGAAATTATACTGTCAACATTCCACCTAAAGGTGCTAAAAAAGTGAGGATCATATGAAAAATTATGCAAAGCAGTATATCACTGAGAGGCTATGAATAAAAAGCTAGGGATTAGAAAACTAGTCTGTACAAAAGACTTGCTTGTAACCTTTTAGAAACATAATTACATGAAGAGCATTAACAACTGTCCTCGCTTTGACAGCACATATACTAAAATTGGAATGATACAGAGAAGAGTATTAACAACTAAAATATGTACAGCAAAGCTTTAACATTGTGTGCTCCCCCCAAAAGAGGTTATTAAATGGTCTGCCATTACTAAAAGATCAATATCAACTTTTCAATAAACAAAAATCCAGACTTTAAAAAATTATTTTTCAATTTTATCATTATTTTTTAATTTGCTATAGGGTATGTGCACTCAACAGAGAGAGACAGAGAGAAAAAAAGAAAGTGAGAAAGCAAGCCGCTAGGCCCATAACTCGAACTGTGATCAGCAAAGTGGGAGTCTAGCATCAACTATCTTGCTACCTGCTGGCTCCCAAAATATAGACGTTTTTAATTCAAGAGTTAGCATTAGAGTCTACGATAAGATTGTTAGCTACGAAATTGCTTATTGAGAAAAATGCTAACAGCTGATAAAAAGGAAGCACTTAAAGATTAAAATATCTGTGAGAAATTCTACTTCAATTTTTTAAATTTTTTTTTTTTTTTTGGAGAGGTTTTTGCTATAGGGCGCGTGCGCTCGCCAGACAGACAGAGAGAGACAGAGAGACAGAAAGCGAGAAATCACCCCCCAGGGGGGATGGTCACGCCGCAATCCCTTCTCCTCCATTCTCCTCTCGGGATCTTGGGCACGCACGCACACGCACCCGGCGTGAGTTCTAAGCCACCTGGTCCAGGACGCGAACCGCGGTCGACTACGTGGGAGTCCAGCGACATAGCCATTACGCTAACTGCTGGTTCCCCAATTTTTTAAATTTATAAACATTGTGGGAAAATTCTAAAAACACTAATGGTTAAATTTATAAAATAAAATAAATAACTAGTTAAATTTATCAATATCTCAGTTCTCTTTTGACACTTCTAAATGTTATACCAGGTTTGAAGAAGAGGAGCATCTAGCATTTATATCACCTAACTTCTGAACCAGACAACTCCTATCACTGGTATTTCACACATATTATTCACTATGAATCCTAGTTCAAACAGTAAATAGCAGAGTTAGGAACCAATTCCAGAAATAGAACAAAAACTACTGGTCGTCATTATAGATTATATAAACTATACTCACCAAAACACATACAAACTCAAATTTGAGCAGAAAGAACATTAGCATTGATGAAAAATTGAATTACAAGATACCTATTTTACCAACTATACTTACTTTAAAAAAAAAAACTACAATTTACTGAATGCTTAAATTAATAATTAGTCAAAACACTGTTTTCTGGAAAAAAAAGACTTTTCTTATAAAGTATGGGTTACAATACATCTATCAATTCAGATTAGATATTCTTAACAGGGTTGCACATAAGAGTCACACATCAGTTTTTAAAATATATTCACTTGGACTAAACACTCAGAATTGAAATTCTACTATATTCAACCCTCACTTATATACTTATTTAAAACAATAACAACAAAAATAGTATCTAGTTTGACTATAGGCCAAAGGCTGATACTGCTATTCATCTCTATTCTAAGCCTGCCCTAGCAGACCCAGATCCTGCCAGTCATAACCCTATTTTTAGTTCAAGGGCTTTCTGAGCAAAAACAACTGAAGCTCTCCCTGTCCCCAAAATAAACATGCAACTTAAATTTAAATTTAGATCCAGTTACTCATAAACAAAAAACAGCTGTCTTAATTACATTTATGTTTTACCTCTTATTAACAAATGAAAGCTGATATGCAGATTAAATCACAAAGACACAATGCAACAGAAAGATTCCAATTTCCTTATTAATTTTTTTTAAAAGGTTTTTGCTATAGGGCGCATGCGTTGCCAGAAAGACAGAGAGACAGAAAGCGAGAAATCACCCCCCGGGGGGAAGGCCATGCTGCAATCCCTTCTCCTCCATTCTCCTCTCTGGATCTTGGGCACACACGCACACACGCCCAGCGTGAGTTTAAGCCACCAGGTCTGGGACTTGAACCACAGTCGACTACATGGAGTCCAGTGACATAGTCATTATGCCAACTGCTGGTCCCCAATTTCCCTATTAATTTAAAACCAAAATCTACAGTTCTTGTTACAGTTAAATTAACTATTGTTCTACCTAATAAAAGGCAGTACTGAGAAATCATTTTTTAAACTCAATGTAATTGACTGAATCAAAAATAGTCATATGTTGGGAACCAGCAGTTAGCGTAATGGCTATGTCGCTGGACTCCCACGTAGTCGACCGCGGTTCACATCCCGGACCTGGTGGCTTAAAACTCATGCCAGGCATGTGTGCATATGTGCCCAAGATCCCAAGAGGAGAATGGAGGAGAAGGGATTGCGGCATGACCATCCCCCCTGGGGGGTGATTTCTCGCTTTCTGTCTCTCTGTCTCTCTCTGTCTGTCTGGCAAGCGCATGCGCCCTATAGTGAAAACCTCTCCAAAGAAAAAAGTCATATGTCTTCTGAGATTTTAACTATGCCTTTTATAGTAAAAGGGACCACAAGCACAGTAAGACTTTTTTTTTTTAAGATTTTATTTATTTATTCATTCATTCATTTATTAGTATTATATCTGATTAGAGAGAGACAGAGACTGAGAGAGAAAGCAAACCACCAGGACCTGTGGTTAGCCATGTGGGAGTCCAGTGCCTCAACCAACACACCACCTGCAGGCCCCAGTAAGACTGCTTTGTAATTTAAAAATTAGTAATGTGATAATTAAGCTCCCACAAAAAAGTATCATGAAGTTCTTGTATCAGGCAAAAAGTCATTTACTAGAAGCTACTGACACATTACCTGGGAACGTGGAATGACCATCTTTAATGAGAAATGTTTTTGTTAAAAGATATGTAAGACACGGGAAAATTTGATTTCATAGTTTTACTTCTACTTATAACACACACTATATAAGAAGTAAAGCTCAATTACTGACTAACCCATAGTGATTTTGAGGAGTCACAAGTGGTACTCATTAACAAATGCAAACCATAGCCATGGAGAAAAAAGCTTCTTACCTTTCGAATAACTTGTTGTTGTTGTGCATGTTTTGCCCGTAACTCTGATACTTCTTTCCAAAGGGACTCATTCTCACTATGTTATAATTTATTAAAAGATAAAATAAAATAAAAAAATTCAGTCAGAATACCAGACCTCAATATCTTTAAGAGTAACAGAGAACTTACGTACATTTTTTTCTATGAATTTTTATAAAAGCAGGGAAACTTTGCTTCAGTAACAGAAATCACAACTACCCTGACAGAACTCTAGAATTATTTTTTATTAACTGTAATACCTGCTATTCATGGCAATATATACTCAAAAACTAAAACACAGAACTACATCAATCTACCACAGGCAGTTATTCCTTTTGACAAGCTGGTTGATTACTTTTTATTTAAAATTATTTAAAATAAGGTAATCTTTCAGATCCTGCTACCACCTGAATTCAGGCCTGATACACTACCTTAAGAAACAAAGGGAAGTGACATTTACTGATCACATGCTACGCCTCAGGCATTATGCTAAATATTTTGTGTATTATTTATTAAAAATTAAAAACTTCCAAGAATGGAATCATTGTCTGTATTTTACACATGAGGATACTGAGGTACAGAGAATTGAGGGGACTCGCCCAAGACCATACAGACTAAGTTAAGTGGTGAAGTCAAACTAAAGTCTGTCACACAACCACATGCAAACAATTAATATATGTTTCATTTTTTTAAAAAAAGCATTTCGCCAACTGGTGGCATGGTGGTTAAAGTGGCTAGATCCTACATGGCTAACTATGTGGTTTAAGTACCAGACCTGGCACTTGAAAAACAAGTACTTGTGTGCCCAAATTCCCAAGAGGAGGGAGAGATGGAGGAGAAGAGATTGTAATATGACTATCCCCCATTGGCAAGTGCTTTCTCTCTTTCGCCCCCATCTCCCCTTGTCTCTCTCTGTCCAGCACATATACCTTTGGCAAATAACAAAAAAGTCTATTTAATAATATGATCAATTAACAACTTGCTCAATAGTAATTATTTTCCTACATTCACTATTTATTTAAAAAGTTTATCTATTCATTCTTTCATGCGAAGGGGACCCTCTGACAAGGTCCCATCATGCTATAACCCACCCCTCCTCAGCCAGCTAGGATCATCAATTTACCCAGAGCATTCACAACTTTCAAAGTGAAACTACACTGTTAATAAACATTGGTAACACCATGAAAAATAATCCACCTATTAAATGCCTTAACTTTTGATTTTTTGTTAAGCTCCACAAAGGCCATCTTCCTCAATCTGAGCCATTACAAAAGGTATTATGGATTTACATAGAGAGAATTAAAAGGAGACTTTTTAAAATATCTACCAAATAACTATTGAATATTTTCTGACACAAATTTAAAGATGCTGTTATTTCTACTGAAGATAAGTTATCTGTAAACCTTAAAAGATGATTTGAGAGTCAAACAATTGAGTCAAACAGCAGCTAGTAGAAAAAAATACAGTAAAAAGAGCAAATGGTTAAATTAAAAATGCAAATTGAAAAAGCTTAAGACTTAAAAAAGGAACGAAAGTCCAAGGTTACTCTTTTACTGAAGGTATCTGAGTTAAAAATTAAATTAATGGTGGCCAAGAGGTGCATGGTGGTTAAGGTGTTGGACTCCCACTTGGCCAAGTTCAAGTCCCAGACCTGGTGGCTTGCTTTCTCACTTTTGTTCTTTCTTTCTTTGGTGAGCACATATGCCCTATAGCAAATTAAAAATAATTGGGACCAGGAGATGGTGTAATGATTAGTCACTGGACTCCCATGTAGTTGACCATGGTTCGAGTCCCAAATCCAGTGACATAAAACTCACACTGAGCAGGTGTGCATGCATGCCCAGGATCATGGAAGGAGAATGGAGAAGAGGGTACTGCAGCATGGCCATCCCCCATGGCAGATGATTTCTCACTTTGTCTCTCTGCTTCTCTGTCTCTTCGGCAAGGGCATGTGCCCTATAGCAAAAATCTCCTTAAAAATAAATAAATAAATAATGTCCTATATTTGAAATCAGACATAGAATGGATAAAATAACTACTCTCAAGCTATTAGTACCTACTGAAAGAAGGGAAAATTCTAATCACATATTATGAGGAGTAATACACATCAATTCTGTATACTAGTTATTTCTGTGCCAAGGTTAGGATAGTGGTACCAAAAAAAGTGATAAAACAGCATCTTTTGTCGATAATAACACTCTTGCAAGACTATGTAAAGTAACAATCAAGTAGGACAACTCTCTTGTGTTCTTTTTCCCTATTTTTTTGTGTCCTACTTTTTCAAGAGGAATACCACATACGGAAGAAACCTTATAAACAGTCAAAAAGACAGAATGGGTACTATGTAGCTTCTGTCCCCCTCATTTATTATGCGTGAACACCATATGAAAGCTAACCTAAATAGAATTTTCATTCCTATAACTTAAAATATCTATTGTTTCATCTGTAAGACTCAGATATCAGATGGTTTTGATAAGCCTAGGTTTATATATTTTTTGACCTCCATTAGTAAAGAATAATACTAGCGTAAAGTCTATGACATACAAATCAAAAGTAAAGAGAACCAACAGTTGCAGAAAAATGATCTTTGACCTCGTCTTCAACAATGTGATCTAAGTACTGATACCAGACAACCTTCAGCCCTCCCAACTCCTAACATACATACACACAACCCTCCCCAACCTCCATATTAGGATTAAATTAGGAAATGCAATGTATTTTACTTTACCTTTTTAATTCAGAAAGCCTGGATTCAATAGTTTCTTGTTTTATTTGAACCTTCTGAGCACTACTTATAATTTTTGTTAAATCTTCCTGACGAATTTTATTTTCTTCTGGTTTTGATGATGAAACCTTACAAAAAGCAAATATTAAAAATCAAATAAACATACATGATTGTAATCAAAATCTTCCATAGTATAAGAAGTTTTTGAAGGCTACTCAAGAAGTGAGATCTGGTTTCAAAAAGCCCAGTATGGAATTCTAGACAAAGAGTAAATTTCATAGTTCAATGGGAGAAGAAGCAAGAAGCTTACATGTTTTCTTTTTCTTTTTAACACAGGTAAGTAAAAGCAGAACTATTTTAGGGTCTTTTTTTCCTTACGTTATGCAATTTCCCCAAGCACTGTTATTACTATATCCCACATTAAATTTAGGCAGTAACAGCTGCAAGCTAGATGATTTTTTTTCACAGTCTACCTCCCCTTTTATGAATTAGATAAAAATTCCTTATTTAAGCAAAAGATATCATTCCTTTGAAAATGTATTACTGAATGCCCAGTATGTGCAAAAGAAATCTCTGGGATATAAATATACAACAGAGAACTACAGAAAAAGCTCTCCAGGGAAGCTTATCTTCTAGCAGAAGCTTACTTTTAGCTAACTTAGGCACAAGCCTTCCCATTATAATGGAAGACTCTGCACTTTCAGTCAAAATGTAAACATTTTCCTTTCCTCTAGAAAATGTTTGAGACTGGCCCTCAGTATAGTTGAACACAGAGACTGAAAAAAAAAAAAAGGAAAGTATTAGTCCAATTCACTGGGAAAAAAAAACCTTGTTATTTCTGTACATTCATAATTTCAACAGTTAAAATAAATTTTGAACAGGTATACTATATGTCAATACCCTAATTAGCTGATGTCATAGTTTACCTTCCTTTTAATGTTCTCTAACAAGTCATCCTGGCCTTGTTTGAAGTAAGGATGCTGAAATTCAACAGGACCATCTCTTTCCTGCTTTACAATTCCAGAGTCAATATGTACTACTTTACGGAAACCATCTGAAAAACATTCAAAATTCACATAATTAAAATAGACAAAAGTAAAAAACTACTCTTTTGTATGAAATATATTTTCTTTTATCATCCTAATAGGAAAAAATTATTAAACAATGGTTAATAACAGCACTCCAAATAAGCCACTGTTCATACTCACACATATTCAGCTGCCTCACAAAGCTTGCCATGTTATTGTGCTTGAAGTACTTGGGAAGAATTTCTTTTGCAAACCTTTGTTCATCCAAGACCAGAAAACTTTGGCCATTCTGGGGGAAAAAAAATAGGAGATGAATTAGCTAAAGTCCTCTGAACCCAAAAATGGACTAGGACAGTCCTTCTGTAATACCTTCAGATCAACATTCTATCTGGTAATAGCAATAAGAAACAAACTGCAATAGTGCCAAATAAAAATTGAGCTATTTGATGTCAACCTAAAAAGTTTAAGAATAGAATATGCCTCAAACCAAAAGTGAAATCATATTCTACAACAAAATACTGAAAGAATTTTCATTAAGTCAGATATGAGAAAGGAAATACATTATGTAACCAGCATATTTAATATTGCTTTGAAACTACTACGAAAGACAAAAATAAATGAGATAAATTTCAAGAGGAGGCTGCATTTTGTCATTATTTGCAGAAGACATAATTATATCTTCATCAACTGAAAAACTATTAAGAGAATTCAATGAAATATACTGTTACTAATGTAATATTAAAAAGTCACTAGTGGGGTCAGCAGATGGTATGTAGGTTAAGGCACTAGACCCTAAAAGGCCAACTGCATGGTCTGGGTCCTGGACCTAGAGGCTTGAAAATCATGCCAGGCACTAGTGTGTATGCACTCCAAATTTCAAAATACTGGAGGAGAAGGGATTGTGTCATGGTCAACCCCTGAGGGTGATTTCTTACTTTCCCTCTCTCTCTCTCTGGTGGGCACATACACCCTATAACAAAACTGGGGAAACAAAAAGTATCATTAGTATATTTCCATGCAAAAATAAACAACTCAAAACATACTACTTAAATACAGTAATTAAAACACCTTGTACTGGCATGATGACAAACATACAGATCTATGGAGTAGACAGCCCAGAAATAAACTCTGTCAAAAAAATTTCTGACAAGAGGTGCAAGACCATTCAATAAGTAAATGACAGTCTTAAAAAAATGGTACTGGGAAAACCGGATATCCACATGCCTACCTATAAACTTGGACCCTTAGGTGGTACCTTATACAAAAGTTAACTCAAAGTTGGGGTGTGGTGGTGCCCGCACTATGGCAAAAGTTAACTTGAAGTGGATCAAAGCTCTGAACGTAAGAGTTGTAACTATAAAAATCTTTGAGGAGAAAAGCTCATAACATTAGATTTACCCAGCAATGATTTCTTGAATATGACACTAAAAATACAGGCAACAAAAATAAAAACAGACAAATGAGAATAATGGGACTATATCAATTTAAAAACTTCTGTGCAAAAACCCCTATCAAAAGGCAATGCACAGAATGGGAGAAAAGATCGGCAAATCATATACATGAAAAGAGATTGAGTGGCCGAAGAGGCGGCGCGAGCGCCCGCCACCGTGAGCCTCGCGCTGTGCTAGGAAATGTGGGACATGTGGATTTGGGATATGAATTCATTTGAAAAACCATTGTTGGGGTATGAACGTGATTTCTGATGAAACTGGATTGGAATAATTTTCATGATCTTTGTATATATACACACACACACACACACACACACACATATTTTAAAATTTTGCATTTGACTTAAAATGCCATGAGAAAATTTGCATATTGCAAGGTGGTCCTAGCCACCTCCTTGATTTGTGTACTCTTGGATATGTTCCTGCTGCTTTACTTCAGTGAGTGCAACAAATGTGATGAGAAAAAGGAGAGAGGACTTCCTGCTGGAGATGTTCTAGAGCCAGTACAAAAGCCTCATGAAGGTCCCGGAGAAATGGGGAAACCAGCTGACATTCCCAAGGAGGATCAAGAAAAGATCAAAGAGATGTTTAAAATCAATCAGTTCAACTTAATGGCAAGTGAGATGATAGCACTCAACAGATCTTTACCTGATGTTAGAAGGGTGTAAAACAAAGGTGTATCCAGATAACCTTCCTACTACCAGCGTGGTGATTGCATTCCACAATGAGGCGTGGAGCACACTTCTGCGAACTGTTCATAGTGTCATTAATCGCTCACCAAGACACATGATAGAAGAAGTTGTTCTAGTAGATGATGCCAGTGAAAGTTTTTTTGAAAAGGCCATTAGAGTTATGTGAAAAAACTAAAAGTACCAGTTCACATCACTGGAATGGAGCAATGCTCTGGGTTGATCAGAGCTAGATTAAAAGGAGCTGCCATGTCTAAAGGCCAAGTGATCACCTTCTTGGACGCTCACTGTGAGTGCACAGTGAGGTGGCTGGAGCCTCTGCTCGCCAGGATCAAACATGACAGGAAAACAGTAGTATGCGCCATCATTGACGTGATCAGTGACAATACTTTTGAGTACATGGCAGGCTCAGATATGACTTTCGGGGGCTTTCACTGAAAGCTGAATTTTCGCTGGTATCCTGTTCCCCAACGAGAAATGGACAGAAGGAAAGGGGATCGGACTCTTCCTGTCAGGACACCTACAATGGCAGGAGGCCTTTTTTCAATAGACAGAGATAAATTGGAACATATGATGCTAGAATGGATATTTGGGGAAGAGAAAACCTAGAAATTTCCTTTAGGATTTGGCAGTGTGGAGGAACTTTGGAAATTGTTACGTGCTCACATGTTGGACATGTGTTTCGGAAAGCGACACCTTACACGTTTCCAGGAGGCACAGAGCAGATGATCAATAAAAACAACAGATGGTTTGCAGAAATATGGATGAATGAATTCAAGAATTTCTTCTATATAATTTTCCAGGTGTTACAAATGTAGATTATGGCAATATATCATCAAGACTTGGTCTTAGACACAGACTACAATGCAAACCATTCTCTTGGTATCTAGAGAATATTTATCCTGGTTCTCAAATTACACGTCACTATTTCTCATTGGGAGAGATACGAAACGTGGAAACAAATCAGACAACATGGCTAGAAAAGAGAACGAGAAAGTTGGCATTTTTAATTGTCGTGGTATGGGAGGTAATCAGGTTTTCTCGTACACTGCCAACAAAGAAATTAGGACAACCTTTGCTTGGATGTTTCCAAACTTAATGGCCCAGTCACCATGCTCAAATGCCACCACCTAAAAGGCAATCAGCTTTGGGAGTACAACCCAGTGAAATTAACCCTATAGCATGTGAACAGTAATCAGTGCCCAGATAAAGCCACAGAAGAGGACAGCCAGGTGCCCAGCATTAGAGACTGCAACAGAAGCCGGTCCCAGCAATGGCTTCTTCAAAATGTTACCCTTCCAGAAATATTCTGAGACCAAATTTATGAAATGTAAAAAGAAAAAAAGAAAAAAATACAGATTGACTGGGCTACCTCAGCATACATTTCTGCCACACTCAAGTGGCAAAAAAGGAAAAGTGCTTTCCTCTGCAGGATGTAAGGTTTATCAGCCATTAAAACTTAGACTCCTCTAGCTTTTCACTAGCTGTGAACCAGCCTTCCTGTCAACGGACGTGAAGCTGCATAGTAGGGAGATTGTGCACACTGATGTTTACAAGACTGAAAGAGTTTTTCATCAAGACGACGGGAAAGAACATTCAGACAGTGAAACAATCAACGAAATGTGCTTTCTGGAGAGCTGTACCGTTCCTGGTCTGCTTGCACGTTGGTATTTTCTGCTAAGTGTGCTGTCACAATGAAGAGATGTCCAAGGATTTTTTTCCTGATTAGAACTGGTAGCTAGTATACTAAATATTGATATAAAAATAAAGAACTGGAACAAGATTCAGAATCATAAAAAGAATGTTTTTACAACAATAAAAACTATATAAAACAGGGTTTAAAGGAAATTAAAACAGAACTAAGAGAAGTACAATTTGTTGGGGCCAGCAGTTAGCATAATGGCTATGTCGCTGGACTCTCCCATGTAGTCAACCGCAGTTCGCGTCCTGGACCCAGTGGCTTAAAACTCATGCCGGGCGCGTGTGCGTGTGTGCCCAAGACCCCGAGAAGAGAATGGAGGAGAAAGGATTGCGGCGTTGCCATCCACCCCGGGGGGTGATTTCTCACTTTCTGTCTCTCTGGCGAACGCACGCGTCCTATAGCAAAAACCTCTACCAAAACAAAAAGTACAATTTGTTATAGTATAGTATCAAATTTCTATATAGATTTTATACCTCAGTGGGGAAAAAATAACTGATTCCAATGACATTTTGTTTTCATATGTGATAGTCATGGATGCTTTTATTTTCCTTGGGTTGCTGAATTGAGCTGTTTAAAAAAAGCCTCTTTCAACATAGTTTTAATTTCTTTCTATTTTTTTATTTGGTTTATGGGCTGTTGGAATTGTAAAACTGCCTTTTAAAAATGGAAATTTAACATAATGTCTGGTCTCAAATGAACTAGTTAGATAACTCAGTTGCTCTTGGGTCAACTGGGCTTATAGACTTTCTCATAAATCTCTTTCTCTCTCTCACACACAAACACACACACATATACACACACATACAATCATAAACAAAAAAAATTTCCTATCACATTTTCAACCTCTTACCTTGATTCAACTGATTATACTTAATACCCAAGATTCATGTTACTGTACTACAGATTTGTTTCACAGCAATAAACCTTCAGTTCTTAGTTTATAATCCCACTTAACAAAAGGTCTGCAGAAGTGATTTATTATTTGGGTATTTGGAGATAATATATTTGATGGGTTTTTGGAAAACCTTTTTCACTCCATACCAGATATACTTCATTGTCAAGTGCATATTTAGATTAGATTCTTGAATTGTAATGTTGATTTTTTTTTTTTTTTTTTTAATAAAATTTGACTGAAAATGTTAAAAAAAAAAAAAAAAGGAAAGAGATTAACACCCAGAAGTTATATAGAACTTCTTCCATTAAAAAACAACCCCTCCTCGAGAGTAGTAGATGGTGTAATGGTTACATTGCTGGACTCCCACATAGTATAAAGCTGTTCAAGTCCTGTACCTGGTGGCTTAAAACTCACGCTGGGCACGTGTTGCATGCATGCCCAAAATCTCAAGAGAAGGGATCAGCAGTTAGCATAATGGCTATGTCACTGGACTCCCATGTAGTCAACCGTGGTTCGTGTCCTGGACCCGGTGGCTTAAATCTCACGCTGG